TTTGCACCTGGCATGTGGAAGTTGTGTAGTAAAAACAAAGTGAGCACATCATCTCATTTTCATTCACCCAGTCAATACATTTTGGATCTGAATGCTACAGAATGCAAGGCTGGGACTACATGGAGTAAGACCGTAAAATATCTGTCCCAAGGAGGTTTTTACCTATACAAACCGTTTCTTTTGTTCATACAGATACACTTTTTAAAAAAAAAATTTTATTTAAGGAGAAAAAAGAAAAAAAAACAGAAAAAGGGTACAAGTTATACAAAATTTCAGAAAAAATAAACATAGGAAATCACTAGTTAATAGATTACATATTGTCATCTTAGAAATAGTTGTTCAAGTTACAAAATTAAAGCATATAGAGTGGACATTCAAACAGACTGCAAACAGTTCTGTTCAATGATCCAATAAAACTCAGTAGTATGGTTACCTGTCTTATACACTTAAATATACATGCAGTTATGTCTTTTAGAGCACTTTCTTTTCCTCTCTTTTGTACAATGACAATTATACATTTTGGGTTTTATTACTCCCACTGTTTATATTACTTTTTTTGAAGAGAGTAAAACCAAATGTGACATAACAGGACAGAGTCAGTCAAATCAAAAGGATGGATATAATACATAATGTAAAAACAAAATACAAGGTGATCAACAGTGGTTACCATAATGCCTCTTGCTATCTTAAAAAGAATGGCCTATATCATCAGTTATAATAAAATTGAACAAAACAGTAAAGAACAAAACCAATAAAACCAAAACATTGGAGACATTAGAGGACTTCAAAAGAAGATAATAGTCAACCAGAATGGGCGTCATAATGAATCTTATTGTCTTCATAGTTGTTGCCTGTACTTTTGAATTTGGTACTATCACGCAAAACAGAATAGAGGAAAATCAGTCAAAACAAGATGGTGAGAGCAATACAGGGTTTCAAATCAAGTTAATAGTAAATCAAAGTGGATTACTATAATATATCCTGCTATTTTTTATTTATTTTTCCCTTAAAAGGATAAAAATGAAAAAGTAAATAATAGAAAAGGAGATGGAGATAAAAAAGAGGGCATAACAACAAAACAGCGCAGGTGAAAACATAGCCATTTAAGCAAAATAGGGTTTCACCACAAGATAATCCCAACATAAAGTAGTTACCATAGTGTCTCTTTCCTTGAAATCTTTGGGTATAACTTTGTATACTGTAGCATCAAACATATCAAGATAATGTAAAATCATTCAAGAGAATGACAGTATTACAGGGTATTTAGAATCAACTAACAGAAAATAAACAATGATTTCTGTATAATCTCCTTGTCTATAAAAGTTTTTGCTTATATTATCACATATAATAAAATCCAATAAGATACAACATGTTAAGACCGATGGAGACAGAAGAACAAAAGCTTGATGGGACTTCAAAACAAGAGGATATTAAATCAGCACTAGCTATTATGATGTCTTGTTTTCTCCAAAATAGCTGTCCATACCATCCAACCTTCTCTGCCTCATTTCTGTTGAGCTCTTTTTCTGTCATTAGTTGTCAGTTTGTCATCTTCATTTTGCTCTCTGTTCCATTCATTGTGGCCTCTCTGCCACTGTTTCTGGAATCTTGGTATTTTTCTTTTTTAGAATATCCTGCAGTATTCTCTGTAGAGTTGAATTGGTGGTTGCAAATTCCCCTAGTTCCTCTTTATCTTGGAAGCACCTTGTTTTTCCATCAAATTCTAAGGATAGTTGTGCAGGATATATCAGTCTTGGCTGGAGGTTATTATAGTTCAAAGCTTGAATTATTTCCCCCCACGTTCTTCGTGATTTAATGGTTTGTGCTGAGAAGTCTGCTGTAATTCTGATGGGTGTTCCCTTGTAAATGATCTGTTTCTTGTCTCTGACGGCTTTTAATATTCTGTTTTTTATATTATATTTCTGGAATTTTGATTATTATATGCCTGTTTGGGTGTAGCTCTGTTTGGGTTGTAGGTGGTTGGGGTCCTGTATGCCTCATATCTGAGTATCTTTACCTTTTGCTAAATTAGGGAAATTCTTCTGGATTATTTCTCTGAATAGTTTTTGTAGTTCATTTGTTTGTGTCCCTACTTCTTTTATGTTCTTAATTCTTAAGTTATAGATCCTCTTATCATCTTCTAGCCTTTGTATTATTGCTGTTTGTTTTCTTGTTATTTTTAAGAAGTTTTTCATTTCATGCTCCCACCTTACAAATCTGTCCTCCAGTTCAAGCCGTTATGCCAGCTTTCGATAGAGTTTTTAGTTTCCTGGTAATCTCTTTTTTTTTTTTTTTTTTTGTCTTTTTCCTTTTTATTGGTACTGGGGACCAAACTCATGACTGCCTGCTTGCTAGGAAGGCGCTTATGCCACTGAGCGAAATCCCCAGCCCCCCTGGTAATCTCTTTGAACCTGCTTCATATATTCTATGTTTTCTCTATTTTCTCCATTAGACAATTCTCCCCTTTTTTTCTGTTCTTCCATTCCATCATCTGTTTTTTCTTGGGCAGTGCTTAGCATTTCTCTAACTATTCTACTTATTTCTTGCTTTATTTCATTAAATACTTCATTTTTGAACTCATCTATGAGGCTCCGGAGATATCACTTTATGTCTATTGATGCCGTGTCTGATACTGCATGTTTTCTGTCTTCATTCTCCTTTGCATTTACCTTTCCTGGATCACTGTTATCAGGATTGGGGTCTGAGGACCCTTTCTTGTTGCTCCCTCTTCCCATACTTTCTGTACCTTCCATACAAGCATATATAGGAGGCCCAGTTTTTTTTCTCTTTGTCTGTTACAGTTTGTTTGAATCCGTCAAGCTAGGTGTTCCCACCCACTGCAGTGTACTAGGGAGATACAGACCTAGGCAGCCTCTGCTGGGCCTGCCCCTCCAGGTCAGTCAACCTACTGAAGGCTTCACTGCTAGGGTACACTGCCAGGTCCTGGGACCTGGTTTGGGCTAGCCTACTGGATCTTAGTCCAGGACGTCACCAGGCCAAGCACTCCCCACCAATCCTGCTTGAGAGGGGAATATGTGACTAAAATCACTGCAGCATCCTGTTCTGGCTAGTTTGCCCGGTCCCAGAATGTCCTCTATTGGAGCCTTCTAGTCTATTAAAGGGTCCCTGTTCCTCTCACTCACCACAGGTCGATGCAGAGCTCCCTGTCAGTCTCGCTCTCAACTCCGTTTGGTTTGCCAATTCGCGCTCTCAGAGGTTTCACATCTCTCTCCCTGCTGTGCCGATTGGTACGTAGCAGTGGCAGCAGGAAATTCAAATTGTGGCTTTCAGAGGCGCGGGTTGCAGCTTCCGCACTGAGATTTTATCTGTTCCTGTTGTAGCATTGGGATTGTATTTCCAGTTGGTTTCTCTCAGCTTAGTTCATTCTTGGGTTGGCAGGGTATATCTTCTCTTGCTTAGGACTCCTCACACCGCATCATTCTTGGATTCTAAGCTGGCAATCTCAGCCTCCGTGGCTGCTCTTATCTCTCTGCCATGTTCTCCCAGAAGTCCAGATGCACATTTTGCTTTACACTTTTTCCCAGAGCCATCTCAATGGTATCTCTTCATTCTAGTTACTATCCTCCTTGTATACTACTTGGTATTCTGGTGTTTATGGTGCCCAGGGGACACAGATGGCCAGCGCTATACTATGACTTGAAGTGACACATACATTTTTGCATTTTTACACTCATGAGATGTATTCATTGTGTATAATTATATTGTGTGTGTGTGTTTGTGTGTGTGTGTGTGTGTGTGTGTGTGTGTGTGCGCGCGCGCGCGCGCGTGTCTGTGTGATGTTATGGAGCAGGGTCTTGTGCATAGTAGCAAGCGTCTGCCACTGAGCTATATCCCCCAACCCATTGTCTTTCTTTTTCTAAGTTGTAGTCAATTAGAAATTTTACTAATGGTAAAACAGTAAATGCTCACCATGGGATGATACCAACAGAATAATAACTAAAAGACATACTTCTCCACCTTTCACAGTCTGTTCTCATCACTTAGAAGGTTAACACTATCTGAACTCTCTGCTTTCCTAAATTCTACTCAGTGTCTTCTCAGGATAGATTTCACTTCCTTTTTAGAACCCTTCCCCGATTCTTCAAGACAGTGGACTTCCAGGCTGAGGATATAGCTCAGTGGCACAGTGCCTGTCTGGCAAGTACAAGGTCCTGAATTTGATTCCGGGAATGAAAAAAAAAAAAAAAGACAGTGGACTTCCAGATATTTTCCTAAGTTGGGCTCACTTCAGCAGCACACACACAAATACTTCCCTAGGCTTCACTATTGGGAGTAGCCGTCTACTGCCCTGTCTACTCCATCAGTCAGCATGTGCCACCCTTTTGTCTTATTCTGCATTGTACCCAGCAATACTTTCAAAGAAGTTGTGTTCCCTCTGAGGGTAGCATAACAATTGAATTTATGTAGAGAACAAGAAATAATAAAGTAGGTAAATTAGGCAGCAATTGTGTCACAAAAGGTTTGTTTATAATTTTTTTTTTTTTTTTGCAGAGCTCCGCTGAGGTGGATTATTGCTATAAAAACAAAGCCCAAATCTTAGAGGCATAGTACGTACTAGCCAACTGTCTCAACTATGTAGCAGTTCAGTGCAGACACTGGGTCAGCAGCCTTACAAATCCTGTGACTCCCATCATTCCTTGTGCCCTTGAGATCTGCTCCTGATTCCTTTGCATTTGTTGTGCAGAGGGGAAAAGAAAGAGAGACAGAGAATTTCTCAGGAGATTTTCTTATTGGCCAGGCCTGGCCATGGCACGCATCACTTCCCATACTATTTATGAGGTCAATCCCGTGGTCACACAAACGCTGAAGGATTCTGGGGCAAGTGGCCTAGCTGTGTGTCCAGGAGGAGCAGGGAATAGGTTTTGGTGACCACTCAGAGAGTCTTCCACAGCACGCTTGCCCCCGGATCACCCAGGCCTTTGTTTGTGTTGTGTCCCAGTGAAGGAATCTCACTGATAGCTGCTGTTTTGGTGTTACAGACAAACTCGTGTGATCAAAATATAAATAACTGCCTTGAATTCATCGAGCAAATTGCCAAAGTGCAGGGACAACTCTTTGGAATCCTCAATGCAACAGCTCAAGAAGGTGAGAATAACCTGTTTCTTCATCACACTCTACCTTCTAGTCTCTCTTTTCTTTGTGCTTTCTTGAGTCCTCTGACTGAGTTGGTCCAGTTAGATTTCTCTGGCTAATAGAGCATGTGCACTTTCATAGGAGGATGCGAGGAAGGTATGGAAACGATCAAGTCACGCCTTCTGCCGTGGTTGGAATCTTCTACAGCTGCTTTCTTGGGAAGACCTCCTGATAACAAGCCTCCCTGTCTACAGGTAGGAGGCTAAAGCATAGACTTTGGTTTGCTGGAGCAGTAAAATAAACGGGGACTTCTGAGAAAAAGAGAACGCTTAGTGGCTCAATTTGGGTTTGATATTTATGGTTTCAGTGGGACAGCATCAAACAATTGGAGGAGAGACTAGAAAGACACTATATATACCTTGCTTAAGCATCAGGATCCCAGTGTCTGGGTAAACAAAACATTCACATACAAGGCTTTTCTGTTGTCACTACAAAATACTTGAGGTTGAGTAATATGTAGAGAGGTTTAGTTTGCTCACAGTTTTGGGAGCTAAAAGTCCAAATAACATGGTGCTGGCTCTCGTGGTGGATGGCATCCCACCAGTAGGAGACTGCACTGGTGGGAGAGATTATAAGGTGAGACAGAAAGCCAGCATGCATGGAACAGACTTGTTCTTATAATATAGCAGCTCTTTCAAATACTAAGTAGAGTTCCATGAGAATTACATTAATTCCTTGGTGGGGCAGTGCCCTCAGTGACTTAATTATTTTCTATTAGGTTCATCTCTTTAAAGTTTTTGTATCAGCTCTCACCTCACCACACTGAGGGCACACTAGAGAAATGCACTCAAACCATATCCAAAGGATAGCAATCAATTACTTTCCTTTCTTGTTATTCTTTCTTCCTTTGCTTTCTTTCATTTATTTCTTGAGACAGAGTTTTATTATGTAATTTAGGCTATCCTTGAATTCACTATAGTCCAGATTGGCTTTAAATGCAGTGATCCTCCTGCCTCAGCCTCCTGAGTGCTGAGAATACAGGTGGGTTCAGTTGCTTTACTTTTAAATGTTTAAATTGATTTACATAAATTCTTTAGCAACATTGAAATAGTTAGAGTAGGAAAGTGCAAGAATAATGGTCAAAGGATTCCCAGTTGTAGATCATTGGACAGAAAACCAGCCCCTACCCCATGGCTCTGGGTAGGGGTCCAACCTTCTATACTCAGTTTCCTTAAAAGGATTTCTCAAACGGATTTTGATGACCTAATAATTGAGTTGTTGTGAGAATTAAATATGAGAAGCATGCAAAATTACTTGCAGAGGTACATGGTAAGTACTCTATAGATGTCAGTTATCATGAAACACTTCTTTCCCCTTAGAATTTATTTCTCAGAATTTCACTCATTGTGCGTGTTATTCTAGGTAGAGAGATGGAGGATAATATTTGAAAGTCTTTTAAAAGTCAAGTTATGTGTACACAGTAAAATCCACAGGTTGATAAATTTTGACACATGCATACGTCCATGTAACTCATACCCTTATTTAGAGATAAACACTTCTGTCACTCCAGAGCATTCCTCATGGCACCCTCAGGGCAACTACTCTTTTGATCCTTGTCATTCTAAATTAATTTTGAGCTTCATGTAAATGCAACCATACATTATGTGCTCTTTCGTGTCTGACTTCCTTTTCTCAGAACAGTGTTTTGCAATCCACCATGTCATTTTATGTATTCAGACTGCTTTTTGATTTGTGTATCTTTCCAGGACACATACGATAGAGACAAACAGAAAGAACCCTGCTTTCGGGATCCAGACGCCCAACAATTAAACTTCAAGTTGAGCTCAACCCGTAGTCAAATCAACCAGCTCCAAGACAAGTAAGAGGAATGCAAGTTATCTTTTCCAAAAAGAATTGGTCTAAATTTGGAAGGAAAATAATGCTGCTTATTTAAAATTTTCAAATAAGTAACATAGTATGTGGGTGTGTGCATGTGTGCATGTGTGTGTGTATGTGTGTGTGTGTGTGTGTGTGTGTGTGTGTGAAAGAGAGAGAGAGACAACGAGAAAGAAAGAGTTGAGAGTCAGTGTCTGAGTTTGGGAAAGGATGTCTATGTTATTCTACCTGTGGTCCCTCGACTCCCTAGCCCCACAGAGCCCCTTATTGGCCTATGTTCAGGAACACGTAAAAACTGTTAGTTGAAAATCTATTAGTTGTGAAGAAAAATTTTAACAACACACAGAATGGGAAGGATTTTAAGAAAGTATCTCTGTTACTTTTCTCCACCACCGCCACACACTCTCCAGCACCCAGGTTTAAAGAAGTAGAGATTTACTTTGGTGCAGATTTCAGCCTGAAGTTGTTGAGCTTTGAGGCAGGCAAGCATGGCAGGGGAGAACCCGTCACTTCACTGCAACCAGGGAGTAGAGAGAGACAGTCAAGGCTAAACTGGGGAGGGAGACAACCTTTTGGTTCATGCCCAAGGTGACCCACTTTGCCCCACATTTGAGCACATGAGGTTTTGCAGGGATAGCCAGATATCAACCAAAACAAAGGGTAAAGGTCAGGTAAATAGAACAATTAAGAGAAAGGAGAGGAAAGAAAGACGAAGCAGCTTGCATCTGTCTAACAGAACTTTGGTTTGAGTGGTGGAAAGTTCAAATTTGGAGCAGTCGGATAGCTAACCTATCACTGCACAGACATTTCCCCTCCAGAACCATCTGAAAGATGCATACATGAGGATGCTGGCTGCATTCCTGTGAATTTCTTGAGTTGTAGCCCATTGTGGTCCTTACTTTCTGTTTCTATTACTGTATCCTAATTGGCAGGGTCTGTTTCCAGACTCTACAGCAGCCAGCTCCTTCTTCCCTCTTACTCCTCTTGTCTTTTACAGGCCCAGTACTGCCTGCACAGCAATGAGCGGCCAGCCTGGGTAAGGAGGTTCCACAGCTTGAACTTTGTGGGGAGCCAGTTTGGTTCTGACTCAGTTGCATTGCATAGGGTTGATGAGGACAGGCCTGCACAGGTTTGAAAAAGCCCCAGATAACAAAAGACTGCCAGATTGTTTTGCCTGGGGTCTGGTTGTGTATCTTCTTTTCGTTCATCTCTGTGTTTTGTCTATGAGAACATGCAGTGGATCTACTTCCAAAGCTTCTTTCACACTCTTCCTTTCTCTGTTCCACTACCACTACTCTAATTTGAAGGTATGACATTTTCGCCAACACAGATATCATCCATCTTCCAGCTTCCCTGGCTCCATCCTTGATCAACTTCAGTCCAGTTCTCACATAGCAAATATATACAAAGCATGTCTTTCTGTGTCAAGTCATTCCTGGCTGAAAGATGTTGGTGTCCTCCTACTGCACTTAGAAAACAGTTCTAGCTTCTTTGGCCTGGCTCTCACTGCCCTTCCTGTCTTGGTGCTGCCTCCACTCCTCTCTCATCTCATGCCATTCTCCAGGGCCCCTTCCTCACCTGTGTGCCTGTGCTGTTGGCCTGAAAGAACTTTGGTCTGTCCCTGGCTCTTTGCATGACTAACTGTGATGCTCCATGTCACAGCTTCAGTGTGACCCTCATAGTCTGTGATGATCTTGGATAGAGAGGTCCTTCTTCATTTCTCTTTTAATTCTCTTTCACAGTGACCTGCTTTTGTCCTACTAGCTCTTACACATTTTGGGACATTAACTAGCAGACCTGAGTGCACACTTATGATCCATCTGCCCCAGGAGACTGAAAAAGCATACACTGTCTAGCATTGCCATGTTGATGCTATTGTATGTCCAGCATTCTGATGTACAAAGAAAGTTCGCAAGCACTTGCATTGTGAGTAAGTAAATCCACAACAAAACATTTAAGTAGAATACATTGACTTGATTTAAATAATTCTTTGCACATGAATGTACTTCTTTCTCTTTTCTCTGCATGTTTTCAGGCAAGTGAATTTAGCATGTGTTTACTTTTATGTACACGTGCTCATGCATATATGCTATGTGTCAAGAGTGAAAAACCCATGGGTTTGTTCCTATTCATGCTTTCCTTTGTTTCTTGATCCATTTTCATTGTTTCTTTTCAATTTCTACAATTTGTCCTTGATAAAATATTCATTTTCTCATATTTACTTAAAACCAACAACAATCTCATATTTGAAGCAAATCATACTAATTTCCTTTCATGTTTCAGCAACTGCTCTGTGAAGTTGTTGCTACGTGGCTTTCTTTTAGATTTCAGACATGTTATTCATTCTTTCATTATTTATTTATTTTCCCATTTTGTAATTTTTAATTTGAAAGAAAATAAAGCAAAAGACAACAGAACAAAGTAAATCAGCACAGAACAATTCAAGAACACAACACACACAACCAGAAAACTGGTGATCAGCAGTAGATACCATAATGTCTCTTTTCTTTGAAATAGTTGAGCATATCTTCACACACATTAATATCATACATAGCAGTATAGTCTAAAAGCATTCCAAAGAATGAAAGCATTATAGGACTTCAAAACCAAGAAACAGGAAATGAACAATGGCTACTATAATACCTCATTTTCCTCAAAAAAATTTTCTGTACCATCACACATAAAAAAGTAAGATAAACAACAACAGCATAGAACCAATCATAACAGAAGAACAAAAGCATGGTAGTACTTCAAAACAAAATGACAGTAAATCAGCAATGGCTGCCATAATGTCTTGTATTCTTCAAAATAAGAATTCATAAAATTACACGTAATCAAACAAAACAGAATAAAACCAATCAAACAAATGAATGAAAGCATTATAAGACTTCAAAGCAAGATAGTAAGAAACCATGATAACCACAATACATCCCATTATATTCAAAATAGCTGCCCCTACCATCTGACAGCATAGAAGTTAACAAAACCATACAGACAAAGCCAAACCAAATAAACTTGTGTAAACAATGCAAGAGTTCAAGATAAGACAATAAGAAACTGACAGTAGTTTTCACCTTTCCCTCCCAGGTATTTCTTCCCCTTTGCTCTTACATTAAATATTTTGCTTTTGGATCCCGTTGATTCCTTCTGTTTCATATGCTAGAGTTCACATATGTGAGATCGAACTGTTTAAGCCATGAACATGATCTCCAATTGCATCCATTTACCTAAAGGAGACTTGAAATTATTCTACCTTATATCTGGGTAGCTTTCCACTGTGTGAACATACCATATCTTTCTTATCCAATCTGCAGTTGATGAGCAAGATACTCTTTTTCTTTTTTTAAATTTTATTTAAGGAGAAAAAGAAAAAAAAAAAGCAGAAAAAGGGTACAAGTTATACAGAATTTCAGAAAAAAAACAGTAGGAAATCACTAGTTAATGGATTACATACTGTCATCTTAGAAATATTTGTTCAAGTTACAAAATTAAAGCTTACATAGTTAGATATTCAAACAGTGAGACCAAACTGTTCTGTTCAATGATCCAACAAAACTCAGTAATATAATTGTCTATCTTATACACTTAAATATACATGCAGTTATATTGTTTAGAGCACTTTTCCTCTCTTTTGTACAATGACTATTACACATTTTGGGTTTTATTGCTCCCACAGTTCTTATTACTTTTTTTGAAAGAGAGTAAAACCAAATGTGACATAACAGAACAGAGTGGGTCAAATTGAAAGGGTGGGCATAATAGATAATGTAAAAACGTAATACAAGGTGATCAACAATGGTTACCATAATGCCTCCCGCTATCTCTAATAGAACTGCCTATATCATCAGTTATAATAGAATTGAACAAAACAGTAAAGAACGAAACCAACAAAACCAAAACATTGGAGACATTACAGGTCTTCAAAAGTAGATAATGGTCAACCAGAATGGGCGTCACAATGAATCCCACTATCTTCGCAACTGTTGCCTAAACTTTCGAACCTGGTACTATGAAGCAAAACAGAATAGAGGAACATCAGTCAAAACAAGATGGTGAGAGCAATACAGGGCTTCAAATCAAGTTAATAGTAAATCAAAGTGGGTTACTATAATATATCCTACTATTTTTTAAATTTATTTTTCCCTTAATTAAAAGGATAAAAATAAAAAAGTAAATAATAAAATGGAGATTGAGATAAAAGAGGGCATAACAACAAAACAGCGCAGATCAAAACATAACCATTTAAGCAAAACAGTGTTTCACCACAAGATAATCCCGACATAAAAGTAGTTACCATATTGTCTGTTTCCTTGAAATCTTTGAGTATGACTTCGTATACTGTAGCATCAAATATATCAAAACAATGTAAAACCATTCAAGAGAATGACAGTATTACAGGGTATTTAGAATCAACTAACAGAAAATGAACAATGGTTTCTGTATAATCTCTTTGTCTATAAAAGTTTTTGTTTATACTATCACATATAATAAAATCCAGTAAGATACAACATGTTAAGACCAATGGAGACAGAAGAACAAAAGCTTGATGAGACTTCAAAACGAGATGATACTAAATCAGCATTACCTATTATGATGTCGTTTTCTCCAAAATAGCTGTTCCTATCATCCAATCTTTTCTGCCTCATTTCTGTTGAGCTCTTTTTCTGTCATTAGTTGTCAGTTTGTCTTCATTTTGTTTTCTGCTCCATTCATTGTGGCCTCTCTGCCACTATTTCTGGATTCTTTGTATTTTTCATTTTTAGAATGTCCTGCAGTATTCTCTGTAGAGTTGAATTGGTGGTTGCAAATTCCCCTAGTTCCTCTTTATCCTGGAAGCACCTTGTTTCTCCATCAATTTCCAGGGATAGTTGTGCAGGATGTATCAATCTTGGCTGGAGGTTATTATCTTTCAAAGCTTGAATTATTTCCCCCCACGCTCTTCGTGATTTGATGGTTTGTGCTGAGAAGTCTGCTGTAATTCTGATGGGTGTTCCCTTGTACTTGATCTGTTTCTTGTCTCTGATGGCTTTTAATATTCTGTTCTTATATTGGATTTCTGGTATTTTGATTATTATATGCCTGGGTGTAGCTCTTTTTGGGTTGTAGGTGGCTGGGGTCCTGAATGCTTCATACATCTGAGTATCTTTACCTTTTGCTAAATTAGGAAAAATCTCTTGGATTATTTCTGCGAGTAGCTTTTGTAGTTCATTTGTTTGTGTCCCTACCTCTTCTTTTATATTCTTAATTCTTAAGTTATAGATCCTCTTATCATCTTCTAGTCTTTGTATTATTGCTGTTTGTTTCTTTGTTATTTTTAAGAAGTTTTTCATTTCATGCTCCCGTATTACAAATCTGCCCTCCAGTTCAGATAATCTATCCTTAGTTTCTTTCAAGCTGTTATGCCAACTTTTGATAGAGTTTTTAGTTTCCTGGTAATCTCTTTGAACCTGCTTCACATATTCTATGCTTTGTCTATTTTCTCCATCAAACAATTCTCCCCTCTTTTTCTGTTCTTCCATTCCACCATCTGTTTTTTCTTGGGTGGTGCTTAGCATTTCTCTAACTATTCTGCTTATGTCTAGCTTCAGGTCATTAATAACTTCATTCCTGAACTCGTCTATGAGGTTCTGGAGATAGTGCTTTATGTCTATTGGTGCCGTGTCTGCTATTGCCTGTTTCTCAGGATTCGGGGCCGAGGGGCCTTTCTTGTTGCTCCCTCTTCCCATATTCTTTGTTCCTTATATATGCAAGCGTATATAGGAGGCCCAGTTTCCTTCCCTGTTGGCCACAGTCTGATTGAATTGCGCCGGCTAGGTGTTCCTGCCCACTGCAGCGCTCCAGGGAGTTACGGACTGGGCAGCCTATGCGGGGCCCGCCCCTCCAGCTCACCTTCAGGTGCTGGGACCTGGGTTGTGCTAGCCTACTGGGTCTCAGCCAGCAGGGTCACATAAGCTAGGCACTGCTCACCAATCCCGCTTGAGAGGGGGATATGTGACTGAAGTCACCACAGCACCCTGTTTCGGCAAGTCTGCCCGGTCCCAGAATGTCCTCTGTTGGAGCCTCCTAGATTGTGGAAGAGTCCCAGTTTCTCTCACTCACTGCAGGTCGATGCACGGCTCCCTGCCCTTCCCCCTCTCAACTCTGTTCACTGATTCCCATTCTCAGAGCTTTCATGCGTCTCTCTCCCTGCTGAGCCGATTCAGACGCAGCTGTGGTGGCAGGAAACCCAAATCGGGGCTTCCAATGGCGCGGGCACCAGCTTCCACACTGAGGCTTTATCTGTTCCTGTTATAGCACCAGGATTGCATTCCCAGTTGGTTTCTCTCAGCCCAGTTCGTTCTTGGGTCAGCAGGGCATATCTCCTCTTGCTTAGGATTCCTCACTCCGCACCATTCCTGGATTCTAAGCTAGGTCTTTCAGAGAGCCTCTGTAGCTGCTGCTGTCTGCCATGTTCTCCCAGAAGCGAGCAGGGTACTCTTGCTTTTTATTTTTTTTTTGGTCTCCTGTCACATGAAACAATTGCTTTCTCTCCTTTGATTTTAAGTCTATGAATTTTCTTCCCAGTTAAATGTGTTTCTTGTGCACAGTATATCCATGGATCTTATTTCTTGATCCATTCTCCTTGTCTTTGTTTGTACTGCAGTGTAGACTTGAGGCCGTCTACATTAATGGTTACAACCCGCATACATTGGTTTGTCTCTGCCCTCCACTTATCCCTTCATTCAATTGCCTGTCTTTGGTGATTTTCCTCTGCTGCCGTTTCTGGAACCATGGTCATCCTTATGTTTCTCTAGAATATCCTTTAGTACTCTCTGTAAGATTGGTTTGCTAGTCATGAATTCCTTCAGTTGTTCTTTAACATGTATTGTCCATCAATTTTGAAAGATAGGTTTTCAGGGTAGATCAATCTGGGTTGGAAGCTGTTTTCTTTCAGGGTTTGAAACAGTTCACTGCAAAGTCTTTTTGACTTGATGGTTTATGTTGATAAGTCTGCTGTGATTCTGATTGGGTTTTCTTTGTAGTTGATCTGTCTATTTTATCTAACAGCTTTTAATGTTGTATTCTTGTGCTGAATTTCTGGGATCTTGATTATTATATGTGTGAATGTAGATTTACTTTGATTATGGTTAGTTGGAATTCTATATGCCTCACTTAGCTGCCTGCCAGACTCATTTCCCATGTTTGGGAAGTTTTCTTCTATTACTTCTGTGAATATCCTTTTCATTACATTTGTGTTGAACCCTGATTCTTCATCTACACATATTGCACTTAGAATATGCTTCTTTGCATCATCTTGCAGCTATTGGGTCGTGATTTCCTGTTTCCAGATTATTTTTAAGAGATCTTTCCTTTCACAATCACTAGCTACAATCCTGTGTTAAAGGTTTAGAAGTCTAGTTTCAGTCTCTTTCAAACGATTTTGTCAGCTTTTGATTGAATGTTTAATTTCCTGCATCTCTCTTTGAATGTTTCATGCATTATAATTCCTTTGTACCTTCATTCAAGGTTTCCATCAATTTCCAATGCTTCTCTTTATGTTCTGTGTCTTGTTTAGACCTACTGAACAGTACTTTCAGAGTGTTTGTGATTTCTTCTTTAATCTGAGACATTATTTCTTATTTGACTGCTTTTACAATCTCATGAAGCTGTTTCCTTACTTCAGTTGCTATCCTCTCTGAGATTTCAGGTGAGTGACTTCCGTTTTCTTCCATGACCATATTTCCCAAACTGTGGGCTAGACTGTGTGGGCTAGATGTCTGAGTTTGCATTTTTCTCCTTTGTCTTGCCATTCTCCTGGGGTTCCTCCCAACACGCTGGTTGTGGGGTCCCAGCAGTGTAGTGGGATGAGACAGGCACCTGGTTCCTCTAATTCCAGGTTTACAGGGAGGTAGCAGGGCATACAGCATGCTTCTATAGACTTATGCAGGTGCACTGTGGCTTTGCTGATGATCAGGGTGCATGGGGGCTGCTTCTCTCAGCCTCTGTGTCTGCACTGGGACTCCCACAATGGTTACAGACATGTAGGAGTGTGTTTTTCTGATTCTGCTATTGGATGATGGCTGCTTGAGGGAACCAAGGGCCTCCAATGGTGGCCTATGGATGCACAGGGCTTACCTGGCTGTCTGTCCCCGCTCCTGCTGGCTGCCTGCAGGAATGAGCCTTATGGTGGCAGCTCCCTGAGGGTGAAGGTGGATCTGCTGGTTCTCTCTGCCCATGCTGGCTGCCTGCAGGATGTGACCTATTGGTGGTGGGGCACAGCAGGCATGGGTGGATCTGTCTGTCTCCCTTGACCCACACTGGGTGTACAGAAGAAGGGGCCTTGTGGTGGTGATACTTAGCAGCCATTTTTCATTCTTTAAAAAGATCTCACGTGACATGTTCAAATGTAGTTGCTAGGACAAAATCAAATCCTTACCCTCAAGTATTTTACAGTGTAAATGTAATGAGACAGATGTGACAGAGTTCAAAAAAAGGGAGACATACTGTGCTTGAAATCAGTGGCAGAGGAGGAGGGTGAGATATGGAATTTGGAGGTATTTTTTCCTATTGGTTGTGATCTATGAAATTGATAGCCACCTCATCACATTGGTTCTGAATCTGCTTCATGATTCAGGTGAGGATTTGTGTAAGATTTCCATCACGGTGACATAATACTCTAGAGAAAGAATTTAAGAGGAGGAAAATTTATTTTGGCTCATGTTTTCAAACCATGGTCACTTGGCCTTGTTGCTTTAGGCCACGTCTGGGCCAACGATCGTATTGGGGGCATGTGGTAAAATAATGGGAGAGGGCGTGAAATAAAAAATAACTTCTCAACTGTTTGATGTCAGATGTGTCAAGTTCATGGTTCCTACAACATTGAGGACTGAAATCGAGACATGAAGGAAAAGGTTAGGAGAGCTTTTCCGGGAATAAAGAGAACACTAATTCCTGGATTTTAGTAGGGGTCTAGAATGGGCAGTTGCCAAAGCCCTTTGTAAGAGTAATTTAGTTTTTAGGCTTTAATTTTTGAGAGGGGGCCTCACTATGTAGTTCCGGTTGCCATCAACCTGCTGTGTGGTCCAGGTGAGCCTTGCACTCATAGTGATCCTCCTTTTTCAGCCTTGAGAGTGCTGGTTCTATAGGTATGAGCCACCATGCCTGGTTCTGTAAGGGCAATTTATATAGCAAAGTTGTGGTGTAGGTACTACATAGATACACCTAATACATAGATACAGCTATAATCAGCGTAAAGGATTACAAGTATAGTTACTTAGCCCAGTGTGGTCCTTACTCTGTGTTTCTATTAGTACATCCTGATTGGCCGGGTCTGTTCCCAGGCTCTATGGCAGCCAGCTCCTTCTCCTCTCTTACTCCTCTTATCTTTTTACAGGCCCAGTAATACCTGCACTGCAATCAGCAACCCACGCGGGTAAGGAGGTTCCACAGCTTGAACTTTGTGGGGAGCCAGTTTGGTGTTGACTCAGCTGAATTACATAGGGTTAATGAAGAGAGGCCTGCATATGTTTGAAAAACCCCACATAACGAAAGACTGCAGAATTTTTGCCTGGATTCTGGTTTTGTATCTTGGGTTTGTTCATCTCTGTGTCCAATTTATGAGAACATGCAGTCGATCTACTTCCAAAGCTTCTTTCACACTCCTCCTTTCTCTATTCCACTACCACTACTCTAATTTGAAGCTGTGACATTTTGCCCAACACAGTTGTCTTCCATCTTCCAGCTGCCCTGATTCCATCCTTGTTTAACTTCAGTCCAGTTTCCACATAGCTAATATACATAAAGCATGTCTTTCTGTATCTGGTCACAAGGGCTGAAAGCTGTTGGTGTTCTCCTACTGTACTTAGAAAACAGTTCTAGCTTCTTTGGCCTGGCTCTCACTGCCTTTCCTGTTTTGGTGCTGCCTCCACTCCTCTCTCATCTCATGCCATTCTCCGGGGCCCCTTCCTCACCTGTGTGCCTGTGCTGTTGGCCTGAAAGAACTTCGGTCTGTCCCTGGCTCTTTGCGTGACTGACTGTGATGCTCCATGTCACAGCTTCAATGTGACCCTCAGAGTCTGTGCTGATGTTGGATAGAAAGGTCCTTCTTCATTTCTCTTTTAATTCTCTTTCACAGAGACCTGCTTTTGTCCTATTAGCACTTACACATTTTGGGATATTAACCAAAAGACCTGAGTGCACACTTATGATCCATCTCCCCCGGAGACTGAAAAAGCATACACTGTCTAGCATTGCCATGTTGATGCTATTACATGTCCAGCATTCTGATGTACTAAGAAAGTTTGCAAGCACTTGCATTATGAATAAGTAAATCCACAACCAAACATTTAACTAGAATACATTGACTTGATTTAAACAATTCTTTGCACATGAATGTACTTCTTTGTCTTTTCTCTGCATGTTTTCGGACAAGTGAATTTAGCGTGTGTTTATTTTTTATGTACACGTGCTCATGCATATATGCTATGTGTCAGGAGTGAAAACCACTGGGTGTATTCCTAGTCGTACTTTCTCTCTTGATCCATTTTCTTTGCTTCTTTTCATTTTCTACAATTTTTTCTTGATAAAGCATTCATTTTCTCATATTTACTTATAACCCAAAACATACTCATATTTGAAGCAAATCATACTGATTTACTTTCACGTTTCAGCAAGTGTTCTGTGAAGTTGTTGCTACTTGGCCTTCTTTAAGATTTCAGACATGATATTCATTCTTTCATTGTTCATTATTTATTTATCTTCCCCTTTTGTAATTTTTAGTTTTAAAGAGAATAAATCCATAGAGAGAAGAACAAAGCATATCAAAATAGAACAATTCAAGCAACACAACACACACAACCAGACAACTGGACATTAGCAGTACCTACCATATTGTTTCTTTTCTTTGAAATAGTTTACGATACCTTTACACACATTAATATCATACATAACAGTACAGTATAAAACCATTCAAAAGAATGAAAGCATTATAGGACTTCAAAACCAAATAACAGAAAAGGAATGATGGCTACTATAATATCTCCTTTTCCTCAAAATTTTTCCTATACCATCACACATAATAAAATCAAATAAACCACAACATGATAGGAACAGTCATACAGAAGAAGAAAAATATGGTAGGACTTCAAAGCAAAATGATGGTAAATCAGCAATGACTACCATAATGTCTTGTATTCTTTAAAATAGGTATTCATACAATTACACATAATAAAGTCAAACAAAACTAAATAAAACCAAACGAATGAAAGCAGGATAAGACTTCAAAGCAATATAATAAGAAACCATGATAAACATAATACATTCCATTATATTCAAAATAGCTGCCCCTACCATCTGACAGCATAGAATCTAACAAAACAAGACAGAACAAAGCCAAACCTAACAAGATTGTTTAAACAATTCAAGAGTTCAAGATACTGACAGTAGTTTCCACCTTTCCCTCCCAGGTATTCCCTCCCCTTTGCTCTTACATTAACCTATTTTGCTTTTGGATCCCATTAACTCCTTCTGTTTCTTATGCTAGGATGCATAGCCATGAACATGATCTCTAATTGCATCCATCTATACCTAAAGGATACCTGAGATTATTCTACTTTATATCTGGGTAACTTTCCATTGTGTGAACATACCATATGTTTCTTATCCAATCGGCAGTTCATGAGCAAGTGACTCTTACTTTTTCTTTTCTTTTTGTCTCCTGTCACATGAAACAATTGTTTTTTCTCCTTTGATTTTCAGTTTCTGATTTCCTTTCTAGTTAAATGTGTTTCTGGTGTACAGTGTATCTATGGATCTTGTTTCTTGATGCACTCTCCCTGTGTTTCCTTTTATTGTTGACCAGAGCCCCTCTACATTAATGGTTGTAACCAGCATGCATTGGTTTGTGTCTGCCCTGCTATCCTCCTGTTGTTGGCCCTCCGCTTTTTCCTTCTTTCAATTGCCTGTCTTCTTTGGTTATTTTCTTCTGCTGCTGTTTCTGGAACCATGTCACCTTTATCTTCTCTAGAATATCCTTTAGTACTCTCTGTAAGATGGGTTTGCTAGTCATGAATTCCTTCAATTGTTCTTTATCATGTATTTTTCCGTCAATTTTGAAGGATAGGTTTTCAGGGTAGATCAATCTGGGTTGGAAGTTGTTTTCTTTCAGGATTTGAAACACTTCACTCCAAACTCTTCTTGACTTGATAAGTCTGCTGTGATTGTGATTGGTTTTCTTTTATAGATGGTCTATTATATCTAACAACTTCTTTGTTTTTAAACTTTTTATCAGTACCGGGGATCGAACTCATGACCACCTGCTTGCAAGGCAGTACTTATGCCACTGAGCTAAATCCCCAGCCCCATCTCTAACAACTTTTAATATTCTATTCTTGTGCTGGATTTCGGGGATCTTGATTATTATATGTCTGCATATAGATTTACTTTGGTTATGGCTGTTTGGAATCCTATATGCCTCACTTATCTGCATGCCAGATCCATTTCCCATGTTTGGGAAGTTGTCTCCTATTACTTCTGTGAATATCCTTTTAATTTCATTTGTGTTGGCCCCTGATTCTTCATCTACACCTATCCCTCTTAAGTTATGCTTCTTTGCATCATCTTGCAGCTGTTGGGTTGTGATTTCCTGATTCCAGGTTATTCTTAAAGAGATCTTTCCTTTCATGTTTATGAGCTGCAATTGTGTCTTATCAGTTTTGAAAGTCTATCTTCATTATCTTAAGCAGTTTTGCCAGCTTTTGATTGAATGTTTAATATCCTGCATCTCTCTTTGAATCTGTTTCATGCATTGTAATTCCTTTGTACCTTCATTCAAGGTTTCCATCATTTTCCTATGCTCCTCTTTATGTTCTCTGTCTTGTTTAGACCTGCTGAACAATACTTTCAGTGTGTTTGTGATTTCTTCTTTAACCTGAGACATTATTCCTGATTTGACTGCTTTTACAATCTCATGAAGCTGTTTCCTTACTTCAGTTGCTATCCTCTCAGGGATTTCAGGTGTGTGACTTCCGTTTTCTTCCATGACTGTATCTCCCAGACTTATTCTGTGTGGGCTAGAGGTCTCAGTTTGCCTTTTGCTCCTTCATCTTGAAATTCTCCTGGGTTTCTCTCAACAAGCTGGTTGTGGGGCCCCAGGTCCTTCCTGTGTTGGCTGCCCCTAGGCAGCATAGAGGGATGGGACAGGAACCTGGGTTCCTCTAATTCCAGATTTACAGGGCCATAGCAGGGCATGGAGCAGGCTTCTCTAGACCTTTGCAGCTACACTGGGGCTTTGCTGATGATCAGGGGTGCCTGTAGGTGGGGCTGCTTCTCTCAGCCTGTGTGTCTACACTGCGACTCCCACACTAGTGGCAGACATGGAAGAGTGTGTTTGTCGGAATCTGCTAGTAGATGATGGCTGCCTGAGGGACTCATGGGCCAACAATGTTGGTCGATGGATGCACAGGGCTTACCTGGCTGTGTGTGCCTATTCCTGCTGGCTGCCTGCAGGAAGGAGCCTTATGGTGGCAGCTCCCTGAGGGTAAAGGCAGAGCTGCTGTTTCTCTCTGCCCATGCTGGCTGCCTGCAGGGTGTGGCCTTTGGTGGCAGGGCACAGCAGGAAGAGGTGGATCTATCTATCTCCCTCGACCCACACTGAGTGCACAGAAGAAGGGGCTTTGTGGTTGTGGTGGCACTCGGCAGCCATTTTTCATTATTAAAACGATCTCATGTGACATGTTCTATTTTAGTTGCTAGGACAAAATCAAATCCTTACCCTCAAGTACTGTACAGTGTAAATGCAATGAGATAGATGTGCCAGAGTTCAAAAAAGGGGAGATATACTGTGCTTGAAATCAGTGGCAGAGGAGAAAGGGTGAAATGGAATTTTGAGTTATTTTCTTACGGTGATGTATGAAATTGATAGCAACTGCTTATCCCCTTGGCTTTGAATCTGCTTCATAATTCAGGTGAGGATTTGTGTTAGATTTCCGTCACAGTGATAAAATACCCTAAAGAAAGAATTTAAAAGGAGGAAAATTTATTTTGGCTCATGATTTCAATCCATGGTCACTTGGCCTTATTTCTTTAGGCCTGTGTCCAGTCCATGGATCATACTGGGGACATGTGGCAAAACAATGGGAGGGGTGGTGAAATAGAAAAGTAACTTCTGGCCTGGTGGGTGTCAGATGTGCCTAGTTCATGGTTTCTACAGCATTGAGGAATGAAGTTGAGAACTGAAGAGAGGGGTTAGGAGAGTTTTACTAGAAATACAGAGAACAACAATAACTCCTGGATTTCTAGGAGGTATCCTGAATAGGTAGTTACCAAAGCCCTTTGTAAGAGTAATTTAGTTTTCAGGCTTTAATTTTTGAGAGGGGCCCTTCCTGTGTAGTTCAGTTTCCCTTCAACCTGCTGTGCAGTCCAGGTTAGCCTTGCACTCATAGGGGATCCTCCTTCAGCCTCCAGAGTGCTGGTTTTATAGGAATGAGCCACCATGCCTGGCTCTTTAAGGATACTTTATAGAGTAAAGTTGCAGTGTACGTAGTACATAGATACACGTACCACACATAGATACAGCTATAATTAGCATAAAGAATTCCATGTATAGCTAATTAGCCCATGTGGTCCTTACTCTGTGTTTCTATTACTCTACTGTAATTGGCAGAGTCTGTTCCTAGACTCTATGACAGCCAGCTCTTTCTTCCCTCTTACTCCTCTTATCTTTTTACAGGCCCAGTACTACCTGCACTGCAGTGAACAACCCGCCCGGGTAAGGAGGTTCCACAGCTTGAACTTTGTGGGGATCCAGTGTGGTTCTGACTCAGTTCCATTACATAGGTTGATGAAGACAGGCCTGCACAGGTTTGAAAAAGCCCCAGATAATGAAATAATGCCAGATTTTTTTTTTGCCTGGGTTCTGGTTGTGTATCTTGTTTTCCTTTATGTCTGTGTCCAGTCTATGAGAACATGCAGTGCATCTACTTCCAAAGCTTCTTTTACACTCATCCATTCTCCACTATTCTAATTTGAAGCTGTGACATTTTCCCCAATACAGTTGTCTTCCATCTTCCAGCTGCCCTGATTCCATCCTTGGTCAACTTCAGTCCAGTTTCCACATAAGAAATATACATGAAGTGTGTCTTTCTGTATCAAGTTACCCCTGCTCAAAGCTGTTGGTGTCCTCCTACTGTACTTAGAAAACAGTTCTAGCTTCTTTAGCCTGGCTCTCACTGCCTTTCCTGTCTTGATGCTGCCTCCACTCCTCTCTCATCTCATGTCATTCCTCGGAGCCCCTTCCTCACCTGTGTGCCTGTGCTGTTGGCCTGAAAGAACTTTGGTCTGTCCCTGGCTTTTTGCGTGACTGACTGTGATGCTCCATGTCACAGCTTCAGTGTGACCCTCAGAGTCTGTGATGATCTTGGATAGAGAGGTCCTTCTTCATTTCTCTTTTAATTCTCTTTCACAGTGACCTGCTTTTATCCTACTAGCACTTATATATCTTGGAACATTAAATAACAGACTTAAGTGCACACTTATGATCCATCTCCCCCAAGAAGCGTATACTGTCTAGCATTGCCATGTTGACGCTGTTATATGTCCAGCATTCTGATGTACAAAGAAAGTTCACAAGCACTTGCATTATGAATGAATGAATCCACAACAAAGCATTTAACTAAAATATATTGACTTGATTTAAACAATTCTTTGCACATGAATGTACTTCTTTCTCTTTTCACTGCATGTTTTCCAGGCAAGTGGATTTGGAATGTATGTTTAGTTTTATGTACATACTCATGCATGTATGCTATGTGTCAGGAGTGAAAACCGCTGGGTGTGTTCCTATTCATATTTTCCTTTCTTTCTTGATCCATTTTCTTTGCTTCTTTTCACTTTCTGCAGTGTATTCTTGATAAAGTATTCATCTTCTCATATTTACTTAAAATCAATAACATATTCATATTTGAAGCAAATCACACTGATTTCCTTTCACATTTCAGCAACTGTTCTGTGAAGTTGTTGCTACTTTGGCTTTCTTTTAGATTTCAGGCATGTTATTCATTCCTTCATTTTTCATTATTTATTCATCTTCCCGTATTGTAATTTTTAATTTTAAAGAGAATAAAGCCGTAGTGAACAAAACAAAGCAAAGCAGAACAGAACAATTCGAACAACCCAACTCTTCACAACCAGACAACTGGACATCCACAGTAGCTACCATAATGTCTCTTTTCTTTGAAATGGTTGAGCATACCTACACACACAGGACCATCAAACATAGCAGTGTAGTATAAAACTTCGAAAGAATGAAAGAATTATAGGACCTCAAAACCAAGTAACAGGAAATGAGCAATGCTATTATAATATCTCATTTTCCTCAAAAAATTTTTTCTGTACCATCACACATAATAAAATAAAATAGACCACAACACGATAGGAACAATCAAAACAGAAGAACAAAAGCATGGTAGGACTTCAAAGCAAAATGATAGTAAATCAACAATAGCTTCCAGAATATGGTGTATTCTTTAAATAGGTATTCATACACTTACACAAAATAAAGCAGAAAAAGACAGTGAAACAAATGAATGAAACCAGTGTAAGATTTCAAAGCAATATTATAATAAACCATGATAACCATAGTACATTCCATTATATTCAAAATAGCTGCTCCTACCATCTGACAGCATAGAATCTAACAAAACAAGACAAAACAAAGCCAGACCAACAAACTTGTGCTAAAGGTACAAGAGTTCAAAATAAGACAATAAGAAACTGTCAGTAGTTTCCACCTTTCCCCCCCAGGCGTTTCCTCCCTTTTGCTCTTACATTAACTATTTTGCTTTTGTATCCATTAACTCCTTCTGTTTCTTATGCTGGGGTACATACATATGAGTTTGAGCTGTTTCAGCCATGAACATGATCTCCATTTGCATCCATTTACCTAAAGGAGACTTGAGATTATTCTACTTTATATTTCCACTGCGTGAAAATACCATATCTTTTTTATCCAGTGTGCAATTGATGAGCAAGGCAGTCTTGCTTTTCATTTTTCTTTTCTTGTGTTGGTCTCCTGTCACATTAAAAAATTGTTTTCTCTCCTTTGACTTTCAGTCTATGCATTTCCTTTCCCGTTAAATGTGTTTCTGGTGCACAGTGTATCCATAGGTCTCGTTTCTTGATCCACTCTCCCTGTGTTTCTTTTTATTGCTGACCTGAGCCCCTCTACATTAATGGTTACAACCAGCATACATTGGTTTGTCTCTGCCTTACTATCCTCCTGTTGTTGGCCCTCCACTTCTCCCTTCTTCAGTTGCCTGTTTTCTTTGGAGATTTTCTTCTGCTGCTGTTCCTGGAATCGATGTCATCCTTATGTCTCTCTAGAATATCCTTTAGTACTCTCTGTAAGATTGGTTTGCTAGTCATGAATTCCTTCAGTTGTTCTTTATCATGTATTTTTCCATCAATTTTGAAAGACAGTGTTTCAGAGTAGATCAATCTGGGTTGGAAATTGTATTCTTTCAGAGTTTGAAAAACTTCTCTCCAAACTTTTCTTGACCTGATGATTTGTGTTGATAAGTCTGCTGTAATTCTGATTTTTTTTTATAGGTGATGTATTCTCTCTAACAGCTTTTAATATTCTCTTCGTGCGCTGAATTTCTGGCATCTTGATTATTATATGACTGGGTATACATTTACTTTGGTTACGACTATTTGGAATCCTATATTAATCCTCACTTAATCTGCATGCCAGATCCATTTTCCATGCGTGTGAAGTTTTATTCTATTACTTCTGTGAATACCCTTTTAATGTCATTTGTGTTGACCCCTGCTTCTTCACCTACACCTATCACTCCTAAGTTATGCTTCTTTACAGCATCTTGCAACTATTGGTTTGTTATTACCTGATTCCGGGTTATTTTTAAGAGATCTTTCCTTTCATTATCACTAGTTGCAATCCTGTCTTATCGGTTTCAAAGTCTATCTTCAATCTCTTTCAAGCACTTTTACTAGCTTTTGATTGAATGTTTAGATTTCCTGCATCTCTCTTTGAATCTGTTTCATGCATTGTAATTCCTTTCTACATTCATTCAAGTTTTCCATCACTTTCTATGTTCTTGTTTATTGACCCTCTCTTCTGTAGACCTGCTGAACAGTTCTTTAAGTATATTTGTGATTTCATCCTTAACCTGAGACATTATTTCTGATTTGACTACTTTTAAAATCTCATGAAGTTGTTTCCTTACTTTAGTTGCTATCCTCTCAGATATTTCAGGTGTGTGACTTACATTTTCTTCCATGGTGGTATTTCCCAGACTTACGCTGTGTGGGCCAGAGGTCTGAGCTTGCCTTTTTCTCCTTTGTCTTCACATTCTCCTGGGGTTCCTCTAGACAAGCTGGTTGTGGGTCCCAGCAGTGTAGCGGGATGAGACAGTCACCTGGGTTCCTCTAATTCCAGGTTTACAGGGAGGTAGAAGGGCAGGCAGCAAGCTTCTCCACACCTATGCACCTACACTGTGGTTTTGCTGATGATCAGGGGTGCATGTAGGTGAGGCTGCTTCTCAGCCTGTGTGCCTACATTGGGACTCCCACAATAGTTTCAGACACGGAGGAGTGTGTTTGTCGGATTCTGCTAGTGGATGATGGCTGCTTGAGGGAACTGAAGACCTGCAATTGTGGCTCACAGATGCACAGGGCTTATCTGGCTGTGTCCCTCCTCCTGCTGGCTGCCTGCAAGAAGGAGCCTTAGGGTGGCAGATGCTTGAGGGTGAAGACGGATCTGCTGCTCCTGTCTGCTCACCCTGGCCTCTTTAGGATCTGTCCTTTGGTGGCAGTGCACAGCAGGAAGATGTGGATCTGTCTGTCTCTCTTGATGCACACTGGGTGCACAGAAGAAGGGGCCTTGTGGTGGTGGTGATCAGCAGCAATGTTTCATTATTAAAAAGATCTCATGTGACATGTTCTATTTTTGTTGCTAGGACAAAACAAATCCTTAACCTCAAGTACTTTACAGTGTAAATGTGTAATGAGACAGATGTGACAGAGTTCAAAAAAGGGGAGACATAGTGTGCCTGAAATCAGTAGCAGAGGAGGAAGGGGTCAAATGGAATTAGCAGTTGTTTTGTTACTTGTTGTGATCTATGAAATTGGTAGCCAGTTTTATTCCCATTCGTTCTGAGTCTGCTTCATGATTCAGGTGAGGATTTGTGTTAGATTTCCATCACAGTGACAAAATCACTAGAGAAAAAATTTAAAAGGAGGAATATTTATTTGGGCTCATGATTTTAATCCATGGTTACTTGGCCTTATGGCTTTAGGCCTGTGTCCAAGGCAAGGATCATGTTGGGGACATTTGGTAAAATAATGGGAGCAGGTAGAAATAGAAATGTGACTTCCGACCTGTTGGATATGCCCAGTTCATGGTTTCTACAACATTGAGGAATGAAGTTGAGAACTGACGGAATAGGTGAGGCGAATTTTACTGGAAATAAAGAGAACAATAATAACTCCTGGATTTCTAGGTGGGGTCCTGAATAGGTGGCCACCAAAGCCCCTGAGAAGAGTAATTTAGTTTTTAGGTTTTTTATTTTTTATTTTTGTCTTTTTCTTTTTTATTGGTACCGAGGATCAAACTCATGGCCGCCTGCTTGCAAGGCAGGTGCTTATGCTCCTGAGCTAAATCCTCAGCTCCTTAGTTTTTAGGTTTTAATTTTTGAGAGAAGGTTTTACTATGTAGTTCAGGTTGCCTTCAACCTGCTGTGTGGTCCAGGTTAGCATTGCACTCATAGTGATCCTCCTCCTTCAGTCTCCATACTGTTGGTTTTATAGGCATGAGCCATCATGCCTTGCTCTGTAAGGGTAATTCATAGAGCAAATTTGCAGTATAGGTACTACATAGATATACCTACTACATAGTTACAACTAGACTCTTGCATAAAGATTCCAAGTATAACTACTTAGCCCAGAGTGGTCCTTACTCTCTGTTTCTATTACTGTATCCTTAACTGCAGGGTCTGTTCCCAGGCTTTACGGCAGCTAGCTCCTTCTCCCCTCTTACTCCTCTTATCTTTTACAGGCCCAGTACTACCTGCGCTGCAATGAGCAACCCGCCCGGGTAAGGAGGTTCCACAGCTTGAACTGTGCTGGGTTCCAGTTGGGTTATGACTCCGTTGCATTACATAGGGTTGACGAGGACAGGCCTTCCTAGGTTTGGAAAAGCCCCAGATAATGAAAGACTGCCAGATTGTTTTGCCTGGGTTCTGGTTGTATATCTTGTTTTCGTTCATCTCTGTGTTTTGTCTAAGAGAACATGCAGTGGATCTACTTCCAAAGCTTCTTTCACACTCCTCCTTTCTCTATTCCACTACCACTACTCAAATTTGAAGCTGTGACATTTTGCCCAACACAGTTGTCTTCCATCTTCCAGCTTCCCTGGCTCCATCCTTGATCAACTTCAGTTCAGTTTCCAAGTAGGAAATACGCATAAAGCATGTCTTTCTGTGTCAAGTCATTCCTGGCTGAAAGCTGTTGGTGTCCTCCTACTGCACTTAGAAAACAGTTCTAGCTTCTTTGGCCTGGCTCTCACTGCCTTTCCTGTCTTGGTGCTGCCTCCACTCCTCTTTCATCTCATGTCATTCTCCGGGGCCCCTTCCTCACCTGTGTGCCTGTGCTGTTGGCCTGAAAGAACTTTGGTCTGTCCCTGGCTCTTTGCATGACTTGACTGTGATGCTCCATGTCACAGCTTCAATGTGACCCTCAGAGTCTATGATGATCTTGGATAGAGAGGTCCTTCTTCATTTCTTTTAATTCTCTTTCACAGTGACCGGCTTTTGTCCTAATATCAGTTACACATCTTAGGACATTAACCAACAGATCTGAGTGCACACTTACAATCCATCTCCCCCAGGACACTGAAAAAGCATACACTGTCTAGCATTACAATGTTGATACTATTATATGTCCAGAATTTTGATGCACAAAGAAAGTTCTCAAGCACTTGCATTGTGAATGAGTAATTCTATAACAAAACATTTAAGTAGAATACATTGACTTGATTTAAACCATTCTTTGCACATGAATGTACTTCTTTGTCTTTTCTCTGCATGTTTTCCAGGCAAGTTAATTTAGCGTGTGTTTTATTTTTTATGTACACATGCTCATGCATATATGCTATGTGTCAGGAGTGAAAAACCACTGGGTTTGTTCCTATTCATACTTTCTTTTCTTTCTTGATCCATTTTCTTTGCTTCTTTTCATTTTCTACAATTTGTTCTTGATAAAGCATTCATTTTCTCATATTTACTTAAATCCAATAACATACTCATATTTGAAGCAAATCACACTGATTTCCTTTCACGTTTCAGCACCTCCTCTGTGAAGTTGTTGCTACGTGGCTTTCTTTTAGATTTCAGATATTTTGTTCATTGTTTCATGTTCGATTATTGATCTGTCTTCCCATTCTGTAATCTTTAATTTTAAAAAGAATAAACTGAAAGAGAACAGAACAAAGCAAATCAGAACAGAACAATTCAAGCAACGGAATACTTCACAACCAGACAACTGGACATCCGCAGTAGCTACCATAATGTCTCTTTTCTTCGAAATAGTTGAGCATAGCTTCACACACATTAATATCAAACATAGCAGTGTAGTATAAAACCATTCAAAAGAATGAAAGCATTACAGGTTTTCAAAACCAAATAACAGGAAATGAACAATGACTACTATAATATCATTTTCCTCAAAAAATTTTTCTATGCCATCACAAATAATAAAATAAAATAAACCACAACACAATAGGACCAATCAAAACAGAAGAAAAAAAGCATGGTAGGACTTCAAAGCAAGATGATAGTAAATCAGCAATGGCTACCAGAATATCTTGTATTCTTTAAAATAGGTATTCATACAATTACACAAAATAAAATCAAACAAAACGGAATAAAACTTTGAAACAAATGAATGCAGTATAAGATTTCAAAGCAATATAATAATAAACCATGATAACCATAGTGCATCCCATTATGTTCAAAATAGCTGCCCCTACCATCTGACAGCATGGAATCTTAACAAAACAAGACAGAACAAAGCCAATCCTAAACAAGATTTTTTAGGTAATACAAGAGTTCAAAATAAGGTAGTAAGAAAATAAGACAATAATGTCAGTAGTTTCCACCTTTCCCTCCCAGATATTTCCTCCCCTTTATTCTTACATTAACTATTTTGCTTTTGTATCCATTAACTCCTTCTGTTTCTTATGCTGGGGTTCACGCATATGAGTTTGAACTGTTTCAGCCATGAACAAGATCTCCAATTGCATCCATTTACTTAAAGGAGACGAGATTATTCTACTTTATATTTCCACTGTGTGAACATACCATATCTTTCTTATCCAACCTGCAGTTGATGAGCAAGGTACTCTTGCTTTTCCTTTTTCTTTTCTTGTTTTGGTCTCCTGTCACATGAAACAATTGTTTTCTCTCCTTTGATTTTCAGTCTATGAATTTCCTTTCCCATTAAATGTGTTTCTGTTGTACAGTATATCCATGGATCTTGTTTCTTGATCCATTCTCCCTGTGTTTCTTTTTATTGCTGACCTGAGCCCCTCTACATTAATGGTTACAACCAGCCTACATTGGTTTGTCTCTGCACTACTGTCCTCCTGTTGTTGGCCCTCCACTTTTCCTTTCATTCAATTGTTTGTCTTCTTTGGAGATTTCCTTCCACTGCTGATCTGGAATCAAGGTCATCCTTATGTTTCTCTAAAATATTTTTTAGTACTCTCTGTAAGATTGCTTTGTAGTCATGAACTCTTTCAGTTCTTTAACATGTATTTTTCCATCAATTTTGAAAGACAGTGTTTCAGGGTGGATCAATCTTGGTTGGAAGTTCTTTTCTTTCTAGGTTTGAAGCACTTCACTCCAAACTCTTCTTGATTTGATGGTTTGTGTTGATAAGTCTGCTGTGATTCTGATTGGTTTTCTTTTATAGGTGATCTATTTTCTCTAACAGCTTTTAATTCTCTTCTTGTGTGGAAATTCTGGCATCTTGATTATTATCTGTCTGGGTGTAGATTTAATTTGATTATGGCTGTTTGGAATCCTATATTAATCCTCACTTAATCTGCATGCCAGATCTATTTTCTATGTGTGTGAAGTTTTATTCTCTTACTTCTGTGAATATCCTTTTAATTTCATTTGTGTTGACCCCTGCTTCTTTACCTACACCTATCACTCTTAAGTTATGCTTCTTTGCATCCCCTATAGCTATTGGTTTTTCTTGTTTACTGATTCTGGGTTATTTTTAAGAGCTCTTTCCATTCATGTTCACTAGCTGCAATCCTGTCTTACTGGTTTGAAAGTTTATGTTCAGTCGTTTTCAAGTAGTTTTGTCAGCTTTTGATTAAATTTTCAATTTCCTGCATCTCTATTTGAATCTGTTTCATGCATTGTAATTCCTTTCTACATTCATTTAAGTTTTCCATCAGTTTCTATGTTCTTGTTTATTGTCCCTCTCTTCTTTACACCTGCTGAACAGTTCTTTAAGTATGTTTGCGATTTCATCTTTTACTTGAGACATTATTTCTTATTTGACTGCTTATACAATCTCATGAAGTTGTTTCCTATCTTCAGTTGCTATCCTCTCAGAGATTATAGGTGTGTCACTTCCGTTTTCTTCCATGATGTTATTTCCCAGACTTACTCTGTGTGGCTCAGAAGTCTGAACTTGCCTCTTTCTACTTTGTCTTGAGATTCTCTTGGGCTTCCTCCCAACAAGCTTGTTGTGGGTTCTGAGCAGTGTAGTGGAATGCGACAGGCACCTGGGCTCCTCTAATTCCAGGTTTACCAGGAGGTAGCAGGGTGTTGAGCAGGCTTCTCTAGACCTATGCAGCTACACTGGCTGCATGCAGGTGGGCTGCTTCTTTCAGCCTGTGTGTCTACACTGGGACTCCCACAATAGAGGCAGACAGGTAGGAGTGTGTCGGAATCTGCTAGTGGGTGATGGTTGCCTGAGGGAACCAAGGGCCTCCAGTGGTGGCCTACGGATGCATAGGGTTTACCTGGGTGTGTGTGCCTGCTCCTGCTGGTTGCCTGCAAGAAGAAGCCTCATGGTGGCAGCTCCTTGCGGGTGAAGGCGGATCTGCTGGTTCTCTGTGCCCATGCTGGCCTCCTGTAAGATGTGGCCCTTTGGTGGCAAAGAACAGTAGGCATGAGTGGATCTGTCTGTCTCCCTTGAGCCACACTGGGTGTACAGAGGAAGGGGCCTTGTGGTGGTGGCACTTGGCAGCCATTTTTCATTCTTTAAAAAGATCTCATGTGATATGTTCTATTTTAGTTGCTAGGACAAAATTAAATCCTTACCCTCAAGTACTTTACAGTATATATGTAATGAGACAGATGTGACAGAGTTCAAAACAGGGGAGACATACCGGGCTTGAAATCAGTAGCAGAGGAGGAAGGAGTGAGATGGAATTTGGAGTTATTTTTTCCTATTGGTTGTGATGTATAAAATTGATAGCAACATCTCATCCCATTGGTTCTGCATCTGCTTCATGATTCAGGTGAGGATTTGTGTAAGATTTCCATCACAGTACAAAATCCCTAGAGAGAGAATTTAATAGGAGTAAAATTTATTTTAACTTAGGATTTCAATCCATGGTCACTTCCAAAGATCATATTGGAGGCATGTGGTAAAATAATGGGAAAGGAGGTGAAATACAAAAGTAACTTCTGACGTGTTACATGTCAGATGTGCTCAGTTCATGGTTTCTACAACATTGAGCAATAAAGTTGAGAACTGAAGGAAGAGGTTAGGAGAGTTTAACTGGGAATAAAGAGAAGAACAATAACTCCTGGATTTCTAGGAGTGGTCCTAAATAGGTAGTTACCAAAGCCCTTTGTAAGAGTAATTTAGTTTTTAACCTTTAATTTTTGAGAGGGGCCTCATATGTAGTTCAGGTTGCCTTCAACCTGCTGTGTATTCCAGGTCAGGCTTCCTCTCATAGTGATCCTCCTCCTTCAGCCTCCAGAGTGATGGTTTAGAATGAGCCACCATGTCTTGCTCTGTAAGGGTAATTTATGGAGCAAAATTGCAGTGTAGGTACTACATAGATACAACTACTACATAGATACAATTACTATCAGCGTAAAGGTTTACATGTATAGCTACTTCGCTCAGTGTGGTCCTTACTCTGTGTTTCTATTACTGAACCCTAATTGGCAGAGTCTGTTCCTAAACTCTAGAGCAGCCAGCTCCTTCTTCTTGCTTACTCTTCTTATCTTTTACAGGCCCAGTACTACCTGTACAGCAATGAGCAACCCGCCCTGGTAAGGAGGTTCCACGGCTTGAACTTTGTGGGGAGCCAGTTTGGTTCTGATTCAGTTCTATTACATAGGTTGGTGAAGACAGGCCTGCACAAGTTTGAAAAATCCCCAGATAACAAAAGACTGCAGAATTTTTTTTTGCATTGGTTCTGGTTGTGTATCTTGTTTTCATTTACGCCTGTGTCTAGTCTATGAGAACATGCAGTGGGTCTACTTCCAAAGTTTCTTTCACACTCATCCATTCTCCATTCCACTATCACTACCCTTATTTGAAGCTGTGACATTTGGCCAAACACAGTTTTCTTCCATTTTCCAGCTTTCCTGCTTCCATCTTTGCTCCACCTTAGTCCAGTTCCCACATAACAAATATAATAAAGCTTGTCTTTCTGTGTCAGGCACTCCTGCTGAAAGCTGTTGGTGTCCTCCTACTGTACTTAGAAAACAGTTCTAGCTTCTTTGGCCTGGCTCTCTCACTGCCTTTCCTGTTTTGGTGCTGCCTCCACTCCTCTCTCATCTCAGGCCATTCTCTGGGGCCCCTTCCTCACTTTGGTGCCTGTGCTGTTGGCCTGAAAGAACTTTGGTCTGTCCCTGGCTCTTTGCGTGACTGACTGTGATCTTCCGTATGTCAACTTGAATATGACACTCAACTGTCTGTGATCATCCTAGAAAGGTCCTTTTTCCTTTCTCTCTTATTTCTCTTTCACAGTGACCTGTTTACACATCTTCAAGCACTTACACATCTTCGAGCTTTAAACAACAGATCTGAGTGCACACTTATGATCCATCTTCCTCAGGAGACTGAAAAAGCCTACACTGTCTAGGATTGCCATATTGATGCTATTAGATGTCCAGCATTCTGATGCACAAAGAAAATTTGTAAGCACTTGCAATGTGAATGAGTAAATCCACAACAAAACATTTAACTAGAATACATTGACTTGACTTATACAATTTTTTGTACATGGATGTACTTCTTTCTCTTTTCTCTGCATGTCGTCTGGGCAAGTGAATTTAGTGTGTGTATTTTATATGTATACGTGCTCATGCATATATGCTGTGTGTTAGGAGTGAAAAACCATTGGATTTGTTCCTATTCATACTTTCTTTTCTTTCTTGATCCATTTTCTTTGCTTCTTTTCATTTTCTACAATTTGTTCTTGATAAAATAGTCATTTTTCATATTTACTTAAAACCAATAACATACTCATATTTGAAGTGAATCACACTAATTTCCTTTCACGTTTCAGCAACTGTTCTGTGAAGTTGTTGCTACTTGGTTTTCTTTTAGATTTCAGACATGTTTTTCATTATTTCATTGTTCATTATTTATTTATCTTCCCATATTGTAATTTTTAATTTTAAAGAGAATAAAAGAGAACAGAGCAAAGCAAATCAGAACAGAACAATTCAAGCAACACGACACTTCACAACCAGACAACTGGATATCCGCAGTAGCTACCATAATGTCTCTTTTCTTCGAAATAGTTGAGCATACCTTCACACACATTAATATCAAACATAGCATGATAGTATAAAACCATTCTGAAGAATGAAAACATTACAGGACTTCAAAACCAAATAACAGGAAATGAACAATGACCACTATAGTATCTCATTTTCCTCAAAAAATTTTTCTATACCATCACAAATAATAAAATAAACCACAACACAATAGGACCAATCAAAACAGAAGAACAAAAGCATGTTAGTACTTCAAAGCAAAATGATAGTAAATCAGCAATGGCTACCAGAATATTATGTATTCTTTAAAATAGGTATTCATAGAATTACACAAAATAAAATCAAACAAAACAGAATAAAACATTGAAACAAATGAATGAAAGCAGTGTAATGTTTTAAAACAATATAATAAGAAGCCATGATAACCATGGTACATCCCATTATATTCAAAATAGATGCCCCTACCATCTGATGGCATGGAATCTAACAAAACAAGACAGAACAAAGCCAAACCCAACAAGATTTTTTTAAACAATGCAAGAGTTCAAAATAAAATAATAAGAAAATAAGACAATAAACTGTCAGTAGTTTCCACCTTTCCCTCCCAGGTGTTCCCTCCCCTTTGCTCTTACATTAACTATTTTGCTTTTGTATCCCATTAAATTCTGTTTCTTATGCTAGGGTTCACGCATATGAGTTTGAATAGTTTCAACCATGGACATGGTCTATAGTTGTGTCCATTTGCCTGCAGGAGTCTTGAGATTATTCTACCTCATATCTGGGTAGCTTTCCACTGTGTGAAAATACCGCATCTTTCTTATCCAACCTGCAGTTGATGAGCAAGGTACTCTTGCTTTTTCTTTTTCTTTTCTTGTTTTGGTCTCCTGTCACATGAAACAATTGTTTTCTCTCCTTTGATTTTCAGTCTGTGAATTTCCTTTCCAGTTAAATGTGTTTCTGTTGTACAGTATATCCATGGATCTTGTTTCTTGATCCATTCTCCCTGTGTTTCTTTTTATTGCTGACCTGAGCCCCTCTACATTAATGGTCACAACCAGCATACATTGGTTTGTCTCTGCCCTACTATCCTCCTATTGTTGGCCCTCCACTTTTCCCTTCATTCAATTGCCTGTTTTCTTTGGAGATTTTCTTCTGCTGTTGCTCCTGGAATCAAGGTCATACTTATGTCTCTCTATAATATCTTTTAGTACTCTCTGTAAGATTGGTTTGCTAGTCATGAATTCCTTCAGTTCTTTTTTTGTTTTGTTTTGTTTTTGTCTTTTTCCTTTTTATCGGTGCCGGGGATTGAACTCACTACTACCTGCTTGCAAGGCAGGCGCTTATGCCGCTGAGCTAAATCCCCAGTCCCCCCTTTCAGTTGTTCTTTAACACGTATTTTTCCATCAGACAGTGTTTCACAGTAGATCAATCTGGGTTGGAAGCTGTTTTTTTTCAGAGTTTAAAACACTTCACTCCAAAGTCTTTTTGACTTGATGGCTTGTGTTGATAAGTCTGCTGTGATTCTGATGGGTTTTCTTTTATAGGTGATCTATTTTCTCTAACAGCTTTTATTCTCTTCTTGTGCCAAATTTCTGGCATCTTGATTATTATGTGTCTGGGTGTAGATTTACTTTGGTTATGGTTGTTTGGAATCCTACATGCCTTACGTAATGTGCGTGCCAGATCTATGTTCCATATTTGTAAAGTTTTATTCTATTACTTCTGTGAATACTCTTTTTATTTTGTGTTGCCCCGTGATTCTTCACCTACACCTATCACTCTTAAGTTATGCTTCTTATATCATCTTACAGCTATTGGTTTGTTATTACCTGATTCCGGGTTATTTTTAAGAGATCTTTCCTTTCATCATCACTAGCTGCAATCCTGTCTTACTGGTTTGAAAGTCCATCTTCAGTCTCTTTGAAGCAGTTTTGCCAGCTTTTGATTGAATGTTTAATTTCCTGCATCTCTCTTTGAATCTGTTTCATACACCGTAATTCCTTTCTACATTCATTGGTTTTTCCATCACTTTCTATGCTCTTGTTTATTGTTCCTCTTTTCTTTAGACCTGCTGAACAATACTTCCAGTGTGTTTGTGATTTCTTCTTTAACCTGAGAAATTTCCGATTTGACTGCTCTTACAATCTCATGAAGTTGTTTCCTTACTTTAGTTGCTATCCTCTTGGAGATTTCAGGTGTGTGACTTCTGTTTCCTTCTATGGCAGTATTTCCCAGACTTATTGTGTGTGGGCTAGAGTTTGCCTTTTTCTACCTTGTCTTGACATTCTGCTGGGGAGCCTACCAACAAGATGATTGTGGGGTCCCAGCAGTGTAGTGGGATGAGATAGGTACGTGGGTTCCTCTAATTCCAGGTTTACAGGGAGGCAGCAGGGCATGCAGGAAGCTTCTGTAGACTTATGCAGCTACACTGTGGCTTTGCTGATGATCAAGTGTGCATGTGGGTGAGACTGCTTCTCTTGACCTGTGTGTCTACACTGGGACTCCGACAGTAGTGGCAGACACATAGGAGTGTGTTTGTCTCATTCTGCTAGTGGATGATGACTGCCTGAGTGTACCAAGGACCTCCAATAGTGGCCTATGGATGCACCTGGCTTAACTTGGTTGTGTGTCCCTGTTCCTGCTGGATGCCTGCTGGAAAAAGCCTTATGTGGCAGCTCCCTGAAGGTGAAGAAGGATCTGCTGGTTCTCTCTGCCTACACTGGCTGCCTGAAGGTTGTGACCTTTTGGTGTTGGAGCACCATAGGCAAAGGTGGATCTGTCTGTCTCCCTCGACCCACACTGGGTGCACAGAAGAGGGGTCTTGTGGTGGTGGTACTCAGCAGCCATTTTTCATTATTTAAAACGATTTCATGTGAGATGTTCTATTTTAGTTGCTAAGATCAAATCAAATCCTTAACCTCAAGTACTTTACAGTTTAAATGCAATGAGACAGATGTGCCAGAGTGCAAAAAAGGAAATACATACTGTGCTTGAAATCAGTAGCGGAGGAGGAGGGTGTGAGATGGAATTTGGAGTTTTTTTCCTATTGGTTGTGATCTATGAAATTGGTAGCAACCTCTTCTCCCATTGTTTCTCAATCTGCTTCATGATTCAGGTGAGGATTTGTTTCAGATTTACATAACAGTGACAAAATACCCTAGAGAAAGAATTTAAAAGGCATAAAGATTTATTTTGGCTTATGATTTCAGTCCATGGTCACTTGGCCTTATTGCTTTAGGCCTGTGTCTGGGCCAAGGATCATGTTGGGGGCATGTGGTAAAATAATGGGAAAGGAGGTGAAATAGAAAAGTAATTTCTGATGTGTTAGATATCCCGATGTGCTCAGTTCATGGTTTCTACAACATTGAGCAATGAAGTTGAGAACTGAAGGAAGAGGTTAGGAGAGTTTAACTGGGAATAAAGAGAAGAACAAAAACTCCTGGATTTCTAGGAGTGGTCCTAAATATGTAGTTATCAAAGCCATTTGTAAGAGAAATTTAGTTTTTAGGCTTTAATTTTTGAGAGGGGGCCTCACTATGTAGTTCAGGTTGCCTTCAACCTGCTGTGTAGTCCACGTAGGCTTGCTCTCATGGTGACCTTCCTCCTTCAGCCTCCAGAGTGCTGGTTTTATAGGAATGAGCCACCGTGCCTTGCTCTGTAAGGGTAATTTATAGAGCAAATTTTCAGTGTAGGTACTACATGGATACACCTAATATATAGATATAACTATAATCAGCCTAAAGGATTACAAGTATAGCTACTTAGCTTGTTTTGGTCCAATAAGAAGAGGAGAGGTAACATGGGTGCACAGGTAGAGCAATGGCATTTTTAGAAAGGGGTCAGTCTAGAGGCTTTGGTCAATTACATGATTGGGCTTTCTGGACCAGATGCTACTAGTTATACTATAAGTCCATGTTACTGTTATCCCTTATGAAGGATTTAAGTCTGGCCATTGCATCTGTATTTGAGGCCTGACTTTCTTTAGATGCAGTTTGAGCCACATTTCTGATGTCTTTATTCTTGTGCTGACTTCCTTGAGGTTCCAGCTTTTTTCTGAATGTATACTAATTTTTATCTAATTTAGCTGTCTGTAACAGTGAACCTGAGGACCAGGCCTTCAGTATATGAGCTTTAGAAGGACATTAAGATCTAACCATAGCAGGACGCACCTCAGAACTGCTGTAGTGAAAGAGCCTGAATGTGACTGGGGCAGATCAGGGAAATAATAACCATGTACTCTCATTGTGTGAGGAACAACTTCATTTTCATTTAATGTTGTCCGTCCCACTTCCACTTATTTTTAAATTTAGACAGACCTATTAAAACAATAAGCTTTATGTTGACTAGCCTATAGTAAAGAAAGTCCTTGAAACTAACAATGGCAGCAAGTATGTTGAAAACTCAGGGAATTTTGCTCAATAACGTAGATGTCAGAAGCAGAAACGTAGGAACCATTGATTGCGGAGGACTTTTTTTTATAGGTGGGGAATTTTTTTCTTTTTTATATTTAAGAAGTCTGGGAAAAATCAGTCAAATCGCAGCTCCATCGTGCAAGACCATGAGACTAGATATTGGTATTTTGTTGAAAAATGCAGATTTTTCTATAGAGAGGTATCCTGGAGACTGAGTATAATTAGAGTAGATGAATGAGGAAGGTGAGAAGGAGGAACTGAACAAGTTTCCTTGTCTTTTTACATTCTATCATTAATACTTATTAATAGTCTTTAGGGGTAGTAGTTTTGTGATTTCTTTGTGTTTGACTCTGAGCAAAGGCTGCTAGAATTTTTTTGCATACCTGTCAACCATAATATTTGCAAGATTGTCTGATTAACTGCAGATGTCTTATAATTTGCTTTTGCTTATGTTGAATTTATATTGTATGCCAGAAATTCCCAAGAGAACCTCTGCCTTGATTTGGAAAGCCTGCCAATTTGAAAAATCTGTCTTTAGTTACTGATTTCTCTTACAGTGTGGCTGAAACTGGAAAAACTTGTGAACAAGCCAGGACAAGGTCGACCGTATGCCTTTTGGCTGCAGAGGAGGAAATAAATCAACTAAAAAAGCAGTAAGAAAAAAATGACAGTATTATTTCAGCCTGCTGATTAATTGTTGAACTTAACATTTTTGGTGTCTTGTTATTGTTGAAAGAATCTGTTCTCAATCAAAGAGAAAAGGCAGCAATATTTCTAATTAATGACTCATTTTTATACAACAAACATACTATCTATTTACTATAGACAGAAGATTATTTAAAGGAATCTAAAAACCTTTCCATAATTCTAGGAATAATTACTGTTAACATTTGATATTCCTTCTAATTAATGTAGCAAAAAAGTGAAGAATATAGAATAATATATATAAGGCTAAATTTTTGGATTTTATGTTTTCATTTACATTAGTTTCTATCACCAAGGAAAAAATACTACAGAACTTAGTTTTGGATAGGTTCATAATTTTTCATTATTTATTCAAATATTTACTTGAATATTAATTTTCAATGCTGGAAACAACAGTGTGTAAAAATTTGTGGAAAATCTTAGTTTAAATTTCATATTATTTCCTAAAGATCAGTTTCTAGAAGAAGAAATAAGAACAGATCCTTTAAGCCTGTACCTTTCTTGATCTTAATTGAAATCCCATTCATATCTACACACACACCCACATTTTATACATGCACCTATTGTTCTGATTTCTTTAAGAGCAGCTATAAATCTTATCTTGGAACTCAGTTTTATTTCCTGCCTCTGACTTCTCCTTCACCATCATTTTAATCTCTATTTCCTATTTGGTATAACTTCTCAAATTCACTGTTCATATTTCTCATTGATTCTCAGAGCTCCTGCTCAGTTCTTTACTGTTTTTTTTAGTGTGGTTTTTGATCCTTTGATATTTTTAGTTTTGCTGAATTTTTCTTAATTTTATTCCTTGCGTTTTCATTTTATACCATTGTCATTTTCATCATAATGTGTTCTTTTATCACTTTTGCTTCTGTTCGTTGTTGGCCATGCTTTGGGTTTTAATGAGAATACTGAATTTATTTCTAAAAAATTTTGTTTCTTTATTATTTTTATAGATCTACGCTTCCAGCTAGTGACCTTCAATTTTCATTGTAACCCCTTTCCTTCAAAGCCATGTTTTCAGAGAATGAGTGAGAGTAGGAGACTATATCTTAGACCAGCTATGATTTAGATTTTTATTTTTTTTAATTTTAAAGATAGTAAAATACAACAAAACAAGACAAAACAAAGCCAATTAAGACAATGCAGTAAAATTGTAGGGTTTTTTTTTTTTTTTAAATCAGTACCGGGTATTGAACTCATGACCACCTGTTGCAAGGCAGGTGCTTATGCCACTGAGCTAAATCCCCAGCACCAGTGCAGCAAAATTGGTACAGAACCAGATAACAGGAAAACAATAATAGCTACTGTAGTATATGATCTATGTTTTGAAGGTCCAATGTTTTTAGACTTTTGTGAAGTTGAGTATTGGGTCCTGTCCTAGATCCCCAATCTCCCAAACAAGTGTATGGTAAAAGGCTTAAATAAAATGAGACAAGTGGTATGATTTTAGGGCTTCAGGAGGGTCACAAGCCCATTAGCTGAGTCTGAGACTCTGGAGGCTGAGACAAAGACTTCTCTGGGTTGCCCATATTTATTAGGTCCAAAACAAAGGGCGGGCAAACTGAGAAAAGCCCGGGAAATGAGCAGGACCTTGGAAGTCACTTCAAAGACTTCTCCAAGTATTAAATTATGCCAATTTAGAAGAACCATCTTATCATGAAGACATGGTAGGAATAACACTGTAGGATTAATTTCTGCAGCTGCTGTCTCTATCTACCTAATTGATGTTTGAGCCAAGTGTCTGCAGCTGTGGCCTTATCGTGCCCTTTGAGGTATCTCTGGCCTCACAGGCCACTACAGACCTCGGCCAGGACCCGTGATTCATAGAGGTTCACTTACCGTGCATCAGGTCCCATTGCCAGTCCCATTGGGGGCCTAGGTCTAGGACAGACTCACAGTTAAATATAGAAAGCCTATCAGGTAGTTTTAAATCCTGCTCAGAGCTGCTTCGTAGTGGTCTCCAACAGTTGAGATGGGTCCAGTGTGTAATAGGATGACTACGCTATTTTTCCTGGGGAACCTGAATGAGTATTCTTCTGCTAGGAACCTTTTGCCATGCAAGCTGCAGATAGGAACTGGGACCTTGACTTGGCAGTTCTGTTTCCCCTGCTTTATGTTAGTTCATGTGTATTTCCAGCAGTTTTCTAATGCAATAATGACATACTGAGTCACAACTAATGATGTTAAGCATACCAATTGTTGCTTATCACCCTTTTACCCCCTTCTCTTTCCCTCCCTCCCTCCCTCTTTCCCTTTCTCTGTCTCCCTTACCTTCCCCTTCCTTTCTTTTTATGTTTTCATGTCCTCTCCTCCTCCCACACTGTTCAGGCTTAAATCCCTTCAAGCCCAGGAGGCTGCCCGCCAAAAGGGCTGTGCACCGAGGCGCCAGGAGCTGCTAAGAGCTGAGCCGAAAGGTTCGATTAAGCAGAGCGCAGACCAGCAGGACCCAGAGGTGTGCGAGATGTTTCAAAAGCAGATCCGAGAACTGAAAGATGAGATAGCTGTCCTGTCTGCAGAGAAATCTAACCACCAAGGAAGGTCAGACAGATTCTCATAGCTCTTTGCATTTGTGCCATTTTTGCTGAGTTAGTCAATAGAAAAGCCTGGATGAGGAGTTGGGAGTTAAGTTAAAATGACATAAACCAAAACTTCAATGGTCTGGAAGGCTTTGCTTTGCAAAGGGATTTATGTATTTACTTATTTAGTTCTGGGGGATCAAATCCAGGGATTTGTACATGTTATGCAAGAATTTCACCATGGAATCTCAATTTTAGAGGTTTTCTTTAACTACACCCTTCTAAAGAGAGAATTCTCTTGGATTGCCAGTACTTGGACACTGATGTTTATTGCGTTGAGAGATATGGACAGGAGGAGTCTTTGACTTGAAACCAAACTGTAAGAATTGATAATGTAAGAGGTGATGTCCACACTGAAAGAATGCGCCATAACATTAGATCTTTTTGTCTGCGGCTGGAGAGTCATCAGAGACAACTGAAATACCATTTCTCCTTAGAGAAATACCATTTTGGTGTATGGTATTTCTGTTTTTCACTTTGTGGGTAACATGTAGGTTAAAAGTTCCTGTAAAGTTCCTTCTACTAGTGGCAGGTGTTGAAGCAGAGGGCACAGCTGTATATTTGTGTCTCTGCAGTACCCTTATTCTTTCTAACCTCCCAGCCCCTAGTATGCCCTAATTCAGGATATCAAAGCACTTCCCATCACCTGTCCCCATTCTCTTAAATGTCACCTGAGTCATACATTTCTGAAACTCCCTCTGTGTGTGCTGTTCTGGCATTGACTTGTCCAGGCTCCCAAGAACTTCAGCCTTTCTGTTATGGTGGGTATATTTATGCCATGGGAATTGGCAAACACTACAAATGCGAGCTTCTCTATCTTCTGCTAAAGCCCACTGACCAGCCAATCACTGCACTGTTTTGCACAACATTTGCCCCATACTTTTTTTCGTGTAAAATTTCCTTTTGTGGGCTCCATTTCTGCTGGCCTGAGTAGTCTGATACTTTATTTCATACTTGGGAGCCATCTACTTATACCACAAGGCTCATGGGGTATGCTGGTGTGGTGCATTAGAAGTACCATAATTTGATTTCTCTCATTTTGGCTCTTGCCCAACCATGTAACTTCAGGATGGTCTCAGTAATTTTTTAAAACTTCATGTTCCTCATCAGTAAAACACACAACAGTCAAGGCTGGTCTCACAGGGTTGTTCAAAGGATAGAGTGAGGTGCTGCTTGAATGACAGTACTCTATCAATCCCAAGTCACTGTGTTGATACCAAGTCTTGTTTTTTTGTGGCCTCTGGAGACAAGTGCCTTCTGTAGGTCTTGTGGGGAAGACACCACAGGCAGCCACCTTCTGTGCCTTGGAGGGTGCTAGCTCCTGTTTGTCATTTGCAGACTTTGTGGAGTGAAAAACCAGAATCTGGAAATGATAGAGCAGGTCCAAGTGTTTCCTTGGCTGATTCTTGCCTATCAACAGGTGTACCAGGAGCCAGTCTCCTAACCCTGAGTATCAGTGCCAGAGTGACAACTACTGCAGCAGCAGGTCTACCAGCCCCTGCACAACTGTCGCCAAGCCTAGAAGCCCATCACCAAATCAGTCCAAAATGTGCAGTATGGCTCGCAAGGCTGCCCTCCTGTCCAGGTTCAGCGATGCTTATTCACAAGCCCGCTTGGATGCCCAGTGCCTGCTGCGGCGCTGCATTGACAACGCTGAGACCGTGCAGCGGATCATCTACATCGCCATTGTGGTATGAGACAGGGCTGGGGCCAGATCAGACATGCGAGGGGGCAGTAGGGACAACAGTTTCATCAAGTCATGGTGCAACGTTAAGACCGGAAGACCCCGAGGTCGCTGAATGGAGGACCTATAGTCTCTCTATTTGTCCCCTTTCTCCTTCCCTCCCTGCCTTCTTTCCTCCTTTTCTTCTTTCCTTTTCCCTTCATCATAAACATGTGAGTATGAGTTGCTTTTCACAATCCATGAGCTTTAATAATATATTAATATTTGTATTGGTCAGATATTTGTTGAAGAAGTATCTGTAACTGCAGAACCATCTTCAGTGGGAATGGACAAAGTTGATTTGCATGGTCCCTTTGTTTATTATGACCACATGAGCACACAGTAGATATATCATTGCAAATAACTATCACTTGATTGGTTTCCTATAGAAAAACTAGAGATTATAATTGTGTTACCTCTTCTATTTATTTAATGATGACTGGTTACTAAAACTGCCAGTGTACCAGCTCCTTGAGAATGGCAAATTAAAAATGTACACAAGCATGAACCTTAGCTCCCAAAATGAATGTGTTTGTTCTAGGGTAGATGCCATATTGAGACACTGAGTCCATACTGAGAATAGTTAAATATTAAGAAGTAAAAAATATGTTAGCATGAGAGCAAAATTATCAGAAACCATGTACTTATTCGTTTAAGCCAACATGGCCTATGAACCATATCTGGACTTTGGGTTTCTAAGAATACTGCCTAAGAGCTAAGAATTTAAGAATGGTTTTATATTTCTAAAGGGTTTTTAGGAAAAATATAGGACAGAAACTATGCTTTGCCTCTAAAGCCTAATATTTACTGTGTGGCTTTTCATAGAACAAAGTTTGCCAAGCCCTGATTTACAGAATTAAGAATTAGATTACTGAGTTGGTTAAAGCTGTGTAAGCATAGAGACCATGTTTTTTTTTTTATATAACTAAATGTTCCCAGTGCCTACTGTAATAGATATAATAAAATTTTTTGAATTAATACATATCTGGAAAGATGCCTGACTCTTGGTATGTGTTTATGTATAAGATAATCACTAGAGTGATAATTTTATTTTTTGGCCAATAATATGATGTTACTATGGACTGATAACAGGATTTATATTTTTGAAACTTTGCATTGCCCTTCCTATATTCAGAATTAAGAGAATAGTGATCAAATTGTCTTGAAATAGTGAATGAGGATTTTCATGTACTTTTCAGATTTAAGGTGTATTTTCTCTCAGATTAAAAATGCTTTGGGTCAACTGCATATAGTTACCCAAAGACTAGCATGAAGTTGAGTTGTTTATTCTTTCTAATTTCTTTCTTTGGGCTTCTTTACCCTACTCCTCTCACCAGATAAATCTGCTGTGTTTTCATGTGCAGGAGGCATTCCATGTGGCTAAAATGGCATTCAGACACTTCAAGATCCGGGTGAGGAAGTCGATGACACCATCCTATGCGTGCTCAAATGACTTTGAGAATGCTGTCATGGAATATATCGTTTGCCATCTTGATCTATATGATTCCCAAAGTAGTGTTAATGTAAGTATTAGGTTTCTCATAGGGACCAGTTGGTGACTAATGGAGTTTCTATTGGATACTGATAACTCAGTGGATTACTATCCATTGAATATTTAGTACTACTTTTTTGTATAGTGGAAGAGAGAAGAAAGGAACATTTAATTTACTTTACAACACTAGTTATTATTGTTTTTTTTAAAAAGACATTTTATGGAGAAAACCGTCTCACTTTTATTATTCTATTAGGTGAGTCCTTAAGATGGGAGATAAAGTATCATAGTTCTTAAGAGCACAGGCTTTGGGAAATGAGTATAGATTAGCCTTCTGACCCTGCCACTTGATTACTATGTGACATCTCTGCTTTAGTTTTTCATCTTTATATGGGGGAAACAGTGGTCTCCTTGTGGAGGTAGTGAGAGGATTAGATGACAGCAGGTCATTTGCTTAGTACAAGATTTGGTACATAGTGATCACTCATTAAAAGTAAGTTATTTAATTGTTATTATGGATTAGGAACAAGTCAGAGTTGTATGTTGGCACCTATATGCTTATCCAAAACAGAAAAAAGCAATAAAATTATAAATAAAGGCTACATATATTTTCCCCTTAGTTTTTCAGAAAGACTTTCTTGGCCATTAGCATGTCATTTTTCTGTCTCATCTTTCCTTCTTCTTTAGTAATGAGTGACAACATCCTTTTCCTTTATAGGATACACATTATTGCTCTAGTTTATTTTCATGCCAAACTCTTTTCCTACTTTCCGTCAATCGTAATGATATTAGAGTCCCAGGTTGTCAAGTTTCTTGTCACAAGTTGGTAACCAGTAATAACATTTTTAATTCTGCAGGATGTAATCTGTGCCATGAATATCAACCCTAAGATCTCCTTCCCTCCTGAAGTCGACTTTTGCCTCCTCAGTGACTTCATCCAGGAGATATGTTGTATTGCCTTTGCAATGCAGTCATTGGACCCTCCCCTTGATATCGCCTTTGGGGCCGACGGAGAAATTTTCAATGATTGCAAGTAAGAGACACAGAAATAGAAGCTAAGGGATTCCCTCACTAATTATGTTGTCTCTGTTCTCTCTGAACACTTTATAGGAAGGAACTCTGGGTGGGGAACATCACTAGCCACCACTTGTTTCCCAGGATATGCCATGTACTTTCCTGTATTCCTGGGCAGGGCCCCCTCCTGGACCCATTCTCCTCCACTGGACACATTGGCTGCTAGGGAGAACTGATGAGTACCTGGAGCCTGTCTGGAATGGTTTAAAAGAAAGGTGCTCTATAAATACAAATGCATATTATTTTTTTGTTGTATTATTTAGGCTACATTCCTCCATGTATGTGGGTCACCTGCATCAGAATCATTTAAGGTACTAATTAAAAGTGCACACTCCTGTCCCATATTCCATGGTGTTCTATCCAGCAGGTCCAGAGTAGAGCTCAGGAGGCTACAATTGAATGGTACCCAGGTCTGCCTAATGTACACTAACGTTTGGTAATGAAAGCTCTGGGCTCTCATCTAGGATCGTTTGATTTCTACTTAGTTTTACCTGGTAAATATTCTCCTTATAAATCAGGAGAAATTAAATTAAAACATTAATTGAAATTAGGTGAAATCTGAGTTCCAGCAGGAATTATAACAGAAAGAGATCCAGTTAATGGTTAGGCACACCAGCTCCATCTCAGGCTGCTTAGATTGAGATTCCATTTCATCACTTATTAGTTCTGTGATCCTGGGAATACTGTTTCATTGTTCTGTTCCTTCATTTCTTTGTCAAATGAGAGAAATAATACTGCTTTCTTCTTTGGTTGTGAGGTTAACTGAGAGAACTGAGATAAAGTGCATAGGATGCTACTTGGCATATGGTAAATGCTCAGGAGATATTAGCTCTGGGTCTTGGTTTTCCTGTAGCATTATGGGCTTGTAGCTGCCTACTATTCCAGCAAGGCTGTTGATGATGGAGACTGTATCCCTTTCTTTCACTCCAGCAGATTACAACAGTAATGGTCTTTCTGGTTGCCTTATAGTGCATCATTGATCTCTTTCTAATTTCTTTCAGGTCACTGATCCCAACATGCATCCACTTGTGGAAGAACTGGAAATTAGAACATTGCCCTGCAGTTGGATCTTTTATTACTCTTTTCTAGAGCATATTATCATCATCCATCTTCCCTGGTTTCTTGCTCCTTGAGAGGATGGATATTACTGCTTGGAAATGCTCAGTCATTTAGTTTGTGGAATCTGCACATTTCACAGACCTCTGTTAGACCTCTTGATTACTTTTATGCCTTTACCTAGAGGGGAAAATGCTGTCTTTTATGCCTGTTTGGCTATGTGGTAGAATCTGGAATTCCAAGAAATGACTGAATTTACTTCAATAGTCAACCCCTTCTGTATCTATGGGTTTCCCGTGTGCAGATTCAACCAACTAGGGACTGAAAATATTTGGGGAAAAATTTGCTTCTGTTCTGAATGTGTAATGCCTGTATTCCTTCTTATTCCTTAAACAATACAGTGTAACAACTGTTTACATGACACTTACAATGCATTAGGTGTTATAAGTAATCTAGAGATGATTTAAAGTATACAGAAGGATTTTGTAGGTTTTACGCAAATACCATGCCTTTTAATTTACTTATTTATTTTTTAATTTTAAAGAGGGTAAAATTAAACGCAACAAAACAGAACAAATCAGAACGTAAGAAAGCAATGTAAGAGACATAAATTTCAAAGCAAGACAATCAGAGATCTTCACTATCTATCAAATTGTCTTTTGTTTTCTTCTGAATAGTTGTCCATATCTTAATATACTGAGAATTCACAGGAAACAATATAGTATAGAACTGATCTCGACAGGATTATGAAGGCATTTTAGGTCTTCAGACCAGACAATAGGGAAGTCGACAACGGCTCATTCTCTTCAAAATAGCTATCCATATCTTCATGTATGTTGAAATTATACAAAACAAGACAGGCTAAAATCACTCTGAAGAAGGAATAATAGTATTACTGGATTTCACATCATGATGCTATGGAATCAGCACTGGGTAGTGTAGTGTCTCTTTTTCTTCAAAGTAGTTGTTCATTTCATCATGCATTATATGATCAGTTTCCATAAATTGTTTATAGGTTCTACGCATGCATGAGTCTCTACATGTATTTCTATCCTTTCTGTATTAGAGGGAAAAACAAAGCATAGCAAGATAAAACAAAAATTCCTATAAAAACATGAAATGAAAAAGTCATATAAAACCACAATATAAGGTGTTCTACAATGTTTACTATGTTGTTTCTTGTTATCTTCAATAGAATTGTCCATATCATCAAGCATAGTATAATTGAATATAGTAGTACATAATAATATTAATAAAAACAGGACACTGTAGACAGTGTAAAACTTCAAAAGCAGGTAATAATAAAACCAGAGTGGGTATCCTAGTGAATCTTGTCATCTTCAGTGTAGTTGCCTATACTCTCAGACTTGATACTATTTGAATAAAATCTGTCATTACAAAACAGCAATCTAACAAACCAGGTTCAACTAAGATCAGTCATGGTAAAACAGTATAAGTTATTCAGGGCTTCAGATTAAGTTAATAGGGAATTAAGGGTGATTACGTACTATGTCCTACTATTTTCAGGATTGCTGTCTGTGCCCTCAAATCTAGTACAAGTAGACCAACTGGAAGAGAATATAATCCATCTAAACAGAGCAGTGTGAATGATGTGGGTTTTAAATCCTAGTACACTATTAACAATATCCTCTGCCTTCTTTTTTAAAACTATTCCTCCCCTTTCACTCCCACAGGGTGGTGCATATTTTGGGTTCCATCAACTCCCTCAGTTTTTAGATTGGGGGGACAACCTGCTATTTACCTAAGTGGTTCCAAACCTTTTCACTCCTGGACTTGATCTCAAGTTGTATTCCTTTACCTACAAAAGCCTCAAGGTTTTCCTCATTATAGCTGAGTAGTTCTCCACTGCACAAAAGTGTCATGACTTTCCAACCTATCTGCAGGTGCTGGATGAGTTGTCCCTATTTCTGTACGGTTCCCTGTCACATAGAGCATTGTTTTCTCATATTTGATTTTTGAAACATAAATCCCTTTTCAGGTTAATTATATTTTTTATACAGAGTATCTTGGTGGACCCTACCTCCTGAACTACTCTGCCTGTGTTTGTTTGTTTCTTTTCTTTTTTATTTTTTAGGTGTACCAAGGCCATCTATGTTAGAGATTATAGCCAACCTTCGATCCCTCATTTCTGCTATGCTATTTTTCTGCCATTGGTTGTCTACTTTTCTCCTTCATTTCACTATCTGCCCCATTCATTGAGGCCTCTCTGGCACTATTCCTGAAATTCGGGTATTTTTTTTCTCTCTCTAGAATGTCCTTCAGTATTCTCTGTAGGGTTGGATTGGTGGTCACAAATTCCCCCAGTTCCTCTTTATCACGGAAGCATCTTGTTTCTCCATTAATTTCTAGAGACAGTTTTTCAGGGTATGTCAATCTGGGTTGGAGGTTATTTTCTTTTGGGGCTTGGAATACTTTGCTCCAAGCTCTTCTTGATTTGATGGTCTGTGTTGAGAAGTCTGCCATAATTTTGATGGGTTTTCCTTTGTAGGTGATCTGTTTCTTTTCTCTGACAGCTTTTAATATGGCATATTTAATATTGTATATTTAATATTCTGTTCTTATATTGAATTTCTGGGATCTTGATTATTATATGTCTGGGTATAGCTCTGTTTTGGTTGTAGGTGGCTGTAGTTCTGTATTCCTCATTTATCTGAATATCATTCTTTTTCCTGTGCTTGGCAAGTTTTCCTTAATTATTTCTGTGAATAGTTTTTGTATTTCCTTTGTTTTTACTTCTGCCTCGTCACTCATGTTTTTTATTCTTAAGTTATAGATCCTCTTGTTGTCTTCTAGCTTTTGTATTGTTACTGCCTGTTTCCTTGTTACTTTTAAGAGATCTTTCTTTTCATGATTACACATTGCAAACCTGTCTTGAAGTTTTGATAATCTATCCTTAGTGTCTTTCAAGCAGTTTTGCCAGCTTTCAATGGAGTTTTAAATTTCCTGGTAATCTCTTTGAATCTGCTTCATGTATTCTAGGTTTTCTTTATATTCTTCATTAAACATTTCTCTCCTTTTTTATGTTCCTCTATTATTCTGTCTGTGTCTTCTTGAGAGGTGCTTAGCATTTCTTTTATTAATCTTCTTATATCTTGTTTTACTTGAATTAATATTTCAGTTTTGAGCTTGTCTATGAGGTCCCAAAGATATCTCTTTATGTCCGCTGATGCCATGTCTGATATTGCATGTTTGCTGCCCTCAGTCTCTCTTGTATTTACCTCTCCTAGATCAATATTCTCAGGGTTGGGGGCTGGAGGCTTTTTCTTATTTCTTTCTCTTGTCACATTTTTGGTTTCTTCCATACAGGTGTATAGTAGAGGTCCCAGCCCCTTTCTTTGTTGCTTTTGGTTCTTCTGAAGCACACTTGCTGGGGATTTCTGCCCTCTCCAGTTTGCTGTTGGCCATTGAGGAACAAGCAGGAGCAACATATGCTGGCCCCTCCCCGCTGGGCCGGTCAGCGTGTTAGTGTGTGCTGTGCATATGGAATTGGTTAGGGATGACTTATTGGGTCCCGGCCAGGGGCATGACCCAGGCCAAGCAGATCCTACCAGTCTTCTCTGGGAATGGCATAACCGACTGAAGTCACTGCCATTCCTAGTTCAGGCCCATTCTGCCTGATTCCAACATGTTGTCTAGTTGGTCACCCCTTTTCCATGGAAGGATCTTTTTCCCAGCAGTCACCATGTGTTAATGCAGGTCCTTCACTGGCTCACCTCCGACTCCAGTGTGACCGTGGCTTTGACAAGTCATGGCTGCACGAGTTTGGGTGGCTCCAGCGAGTCAAGGTGGTACAAGTTCAGGCTGCTCCTGCGAGAGTGCTGTGGCTGCTAATCTTAGCTGCTCCGATGGTGGTCCTGAGACTGTGTGTTTGACCAGCTCTTTTCTTTTTAATTTCTTCCTGGGTCAAGAGGATCCATCTTCCTCTGTCCAGACCTCTCCAGGATGTTTTATTCTGGCATCTGAGTTGTCTCTCTCAGGGAGGCTCTGTATCCTGCTGCTTCTTGGTCCTCCATCTTTAGCTTCTCTACCATGCCATTTTAGTAAGACATCTGAGCATCTGTAGATTTTGTTATCCTTAGAGATGCTGAAAGCAAAATCTGTGCAAGGGACCACTACCTTTCCCTGAACAAGTCAAAGCTTTTGTCACTTGCCAGCCTTTCACACATTTGAGAAACCATTTCATACATTAAGTAACTCCTCCTTCTTTGGCCTCATGGCTTTGGGCATTTTCAAATTGAATGTGTTGGAGACTTTTTAGAAATAGATTTGTTTTCTTGGCCTGTGCTTCATGCTCTGTTGAATGCTCTTTTTAACACAAGTGTCCATTTTTGTTTGAATTGACCAATCAAGATGGACTAACACTCTTTTAATTCTTATCCCTTATCTGTTAGTTCAGCTAGTTTACAGTTGTTATTACTTTCTTTTCTTAAGCCTTAAAAAACTTGACTCATTTTGAGGACAACTGGAACATGCTATTTTGTCTTTGGTTATGCCAGGACTAAGCTGTAAACTTCCTTTATTTGTGCAGATAAGTGCTTTTTAGACTTCACTGCAGAACCTCATGTATAGTCACAGCATATCTGATTTTAAAGCCTATTTTATTATTTTTTGATACTAATACTTATTTTTCCTATTTACATCCCCACCTTTGAGCATGTTTTTCATGTTTCATATACAACACTGATAAATATTTTGACTCATAGGATTGACAGAGAGCCCTTAGAGCTTTACCAGGTTCTCAGTGATCCATTAAAATTATTCCTCCTCTGATACGATTATCAACCATGTTTCCAGTCCACCTACTTAATCACCCACCTATATTTCTTCCAGTTTTCCCACAGAGACAGCAGGAGAATTTTTTATAAAGAGTCTTATGGAACTTCAGAAGTCAGTGTTGCTAGCATGTCTTTGAATTACAACTGTTATAGTCCTGAGAAGACAAGGAATACGATTAATTGACACAAACTTGTCTCATTGAGTCAGTGTTGGGTCATAGATATCACTGGTTCCTATTTTAAGACCCATCACCATCTCTTTAATAACAGAATCTGAATCCATGTTTATCTAGGTCTAGAGCTAAACATAAAATATGAATCCTTACATTGAGGTTCCCTCTGTTATACTACCTTATTGCTTAACTTCTTTTTCTTGTTCTTTTGTGCATGTACAACAGGTACCGCCGCAGCTACGACTCGGATTTCACTGCTCCCTTGGTCTTTTACCATGTGTGGCCTGCTCTCATGGAGATTGACAATGTCATTATGAAGGGAGAAGCTGTCACCAAGAGAGGGGCTTTTGTACGGTGGCCTTACATAATGACAAATCATGCCCAGTGTTTGATTTATAAGTTTGAGAACATTTATAAACCCAGAGATTCTAGGAAAGAAGTTGATAAAAATTTGTTTGATAGGATGTCATACAAAGGAGAAGGAAGTGGTGGCTTCAGAAAGGATGGCTTCCTTTCTACCATGATTCCTCCTAATTAACTGGCAGTCATTTTGTTGTTGTTCTGTTTATAAGATAGAGCTAGTCATAGTTATATCCTCTATCTTAAGACATTTTTTTGATATTGTAAAGCTCTTTGAACAAATCATCTTGGAGGCTTTTTATAATTATGAGTGTTTACTTACAATTAATTTTTAAGAAATCATTTGCCAGTTTATACTGATAATTCTCTGTTTTGGGGAACTATGACTGTACTCTGCTCTTTTCTCCTTTGTATGATATGTAGAGAGATACTATTTTGTCTTTGGTTATGGTGAAAAAGGGGGCAGATCTGTTGTGGACAGAGGAGCCAGTCAATTCTGGGAGGTTGCCTCTTACATTGGTTAGAGAAACTTTAGAACATATTAAATAAGTAGAACAGTCTTCAAAATGAAGTATTAGGTATGTAAATGTGCAAATGAATGCGTGATGTAGCAAGAATTGTACTGGAACTGGTGGCCCCAGGTACTTAGATAACCTGCATAGTTCATTAAATGTAGTATTTACCTTTGCCTTCCCTAGAAAGAAGTAGGATTCTGAAGGTAAATGTCTTAGTCCAAAGCAAAGCCACTGTCTGGGTGGCTGGGTGGAGAAAGGGAATAGTTTATTTTTAAAGAACTTAAGAAAAGAGTTTTGTAGCTTAAAAGTTCCATTATAGTGAATACTATCTCAATGAAATGTTTTGTGTGTGAAAGTGGAGCCCATTAAAATTAGGTTCTTTTGATTTGACAATCACACTGCTCTACATTGAATGATTTCATAAAATATGCAAGAAGCTTCTACAACAACCACTGATTACTAAGAAACTCTTACTGGCAGAGCAGTTTGGAAGGGAGAGAGAAGAAACAATCATGATTCTGCTCTCCATCAAATAAGAATTACCTTTTTAACTTCCTTCTTCTACCTCATCAAGCATATAACCAACATTTGCCCAAGCTTAAACTCCCCAAACAAAATTAAGATACCCTCAGAGGAAGAATATAGAGAAGAAAAAAGATGAATGAAGAAAATTTTCTAGAAGGATTTTACTTGTAAAATCTCATTTTAATGAATATAATGTTTTGTTTTTAAAGATAACTTTATTGAGATTTTATTGATACACAATAAGATTAGCATATATGTAATATATACAGTTTGATATATAATTTTCTCATTTATTTAATTGAAGAATAGATGGGGAGCAGTTACATTTCACTCATTTGATTTGATGGTATTTATTTATTCAATAGTTATTTATGACCTAAGTACTGTATTTAGGTGCTAAGGGATTTTATAATGACTAAACCAGAAGCAAATTCCTGCCCACATGAATCTTATATTCTCTAACACCTGCAAAACCAATTACTCATGAAAACATTGTACTACAGTCAAGACTGTGAAGGTTCCCAAGTTCGCTACGATGGTGATTTATTTGAGAAGCTATTGCTTAACGTTGGGCAGGAAATGAAAGGAGTGTTGCTCATGCTGATAATTAGTCATGGGAAAGTGAAATCTTGTTAGATAGACCTGGTATGCATGCATATGTTATGTCCAGCCGTGTCAGCCTGTGGACACTCTTAACTTTCTATCTCTCTTTTAGTGGAATTCTGTGCGGTCTGTAAGTCGATGCCGAAGCAGGAGCTTAAGTCCCATTTACCCACGTAGCCGCATTGGTTTAAACACGGTATTTATATGTCTAATAATTTTTACTCAAAACTTCCCATGGTTGACACTTAATTTGCTTCAACGTGTGAAAAAGGTGATTATAGGGTTATGGGTAGAACACGATCCTGCTGTAATAACACTAACACCAAAATGACTTCTCTTTTTGTATCAAGAATCCAACTCAGGATCTCACACTTGCCAGGCCCCCTAAAGTGATTTTAATACTACTGTGGGCTAGGGTACATACTATTCTAGAAAGAAGAAATAATGTTTTTGTTTTTCTTTTTAATTAGTTCAAGGAATAATAGACCTTACTTTGTAGTTTTATTATCTTTGAATGATATGGGCTATTAGAGATCTGAACAGAGCAAGGGACATCTTAGCTGATCTGAGCACAGGTCTTTGGTTCCTCTAGATATTTCTGTATGAGTTTGGAGAAATTGCACAAGATGTCTGGATATCAATGCTGTAGAAAGAACGTTGGTAGTATTAATTTGTCGCTAACTCCAAAGGAGGAAAAGGAGGGTTAGTTTCCTTTCCCACTAGGTCTTTGGTGGATTACTAATACTTTCATCAGATTAAAAAATAGCAGCAAAATTATCTCTGAGCTGTTTGGAGATAATATCCCTAACAATATCATTGTGATTCACCACAAATAATATTTAATCAGTGCTTTTGAATAGGCCTGGGCCAAGATGTGGATATCGGAAAGATTATCTGTTTTTCTTTCCAATAAAAATTCATTAAATATGTGTCCAATGTATTTTAGAAGACAGAGTGGTAAAGGAGAACCACATTGGGCAATGCTCCACTTCTCTGAAATTGTCTCAAGCGATGGCCCAGGACCTGCACAGTTAGAGACTTACCTTTCTTACCGAGTTTAGCAAGCATCCATTATTCCTCCAGTGGACTCTTGGTAACACATTCCTTGTGCGTTTGGTGGATGCTAAATCTGGGAGGGCCACAGAAATGATTAGATGTGGGCGTTCCCTGAGTGGATCTTCATATAGGAAGATCAGTTAATTTTTTCAAATGTGGTACAGTGTAAATTAATACATTCACAATGTGATGCAATATGATACAGTCTATAAAGCAAAGGCCTAAAGCAATGATGGCAAATCCTTTAAAGACAAGTGCCCAGACTGTAACCCAAAACCCACTTACTTATCACAAAGTGCCAACACTGCAATTAAGCCTGAGTACGGAGGCTTTAGTTTAGAAAAAAATATACATTAACTTTTTTTGTTAAACAACACATGTGTCCTAGGTTCACCATCACTGGCCTAAAGCCATGGTAATGAGGAAGGGGTTCATGGTGGACCTGATATTTGGCTTGCTCTTTTAGAATAGGTGGGCTTCTATCCACTCACTTGGACATATACAGGGAAAGAAAATCACCTAAAAAATGTTGGGGATGTAGAAAAGGTGTGCATCTGCCAGTCATTTTGCTTTTGGGAATTGGAATTTTAATATAATTATATGTCTATATTCCTGAATGATATTTACAGTAGATAAAAATAAAAGGAAATATTGAGAGCACTATACTGGAGAACTCACAGGTCTTCCCGTTCCAAGAGGAAATGACAGAGAGGAAACAGTAATATTAGACACCTCATGTGCTCCAGACCTGGCAAACTTTTAACTCTGGACTCCAGTAGGAAATTTTATTGATGGAAGTGTTCTCTGTATCTGAATCTCTTTGTCTCTGTTTCATATTCTGTGCTTCGGGAGAACAAAGTAATTTAAACTTTAGACAAGGAAATAAAATACATTCTCGAAGGCAAAACTGCTGCCAACTTTCCTTCTTTTTCCATCATCCTCTTCTACAACAAAATGAGGTGTACCTGCAAAATAAAATGCAACTATTTTTGGTTAGTCTTTTTTTTCTTTGCTTGCTTAAGCTCTTGACTCATCCAAAATAGATTACACCTTAATCAGCATCTATTTAAAGTGTTTGAAAGCTCAGACAGAAATGATGCCTGTAGCCAAGATCAGGTCATAGTAGTTCAGTGGCTACTGCCTAGTGAAGTAGAGGTGAGAATAAAAAATGATTTTTTTCTGGGCTGCTCAGTGCTTAATAGAGCAAAGTTTTGGACACATGAGATAACTTACCTATAGGATCTTCCAGATTGCATCTTCATTTTAGCTTTTATTAGTTGACCATAATTATTAGTTTATGGAAAGCATTGAGTTCAGTATGGCTATTCTCAGGTCACTGTACCTAGCTTTTAACTAATAATGTGATGTAAAACAAATTGAGTGCTCATTTACTGCAAAAAATATAAAAGAAATGAGAATCATCACTCTGGCTGTGGGTGGGTTGGGGGGGGTGGAGAGATTACTCTGTAGTTCTCAAGTGCCTCAGAGCAGCTGAGTAGCTTCTATTAGGGAAAAAGATGTCAAAGGGCTTATCTGCTGAGTTTCATTACTGTGTAATTCATATTCCACTTTTATGTTTTCCAGGTATCTCGAAGTCGAAGTCCATCTCCAATAAGATGTCCATTGTCAAGTGAGTGCGTAGTTAAGATGCATCAAGTTTCCTGCTCCTTAACACTCTTTCTAGTAGTCAGCATTGTGCAGTACGGTGAATGGTTTGCTGAGGAAGCCTTTTCCCTGTCCATCACAGTATTCTTTTCTGGGCCCTCCTGATACTGGTGCCCACACATGTTCCTGCGGGTTAAGTAGGAAGAACTCGCAGTGGGTGGTATGAGCATGCTAAGCCTAGAATAATCACTCCTTTTCCATTTAGACACTTCTGAAAGAAATCTCAAAAAGTGAACATAATTATAAACTGCTTGTTTTTCTCCCTAGGGTTTTAAAGCCACCAGATACGTTCCTCTGCCACAGTTCATTGTAACAGCCAGCTTCCTCTGTGCCTCCATCCACCTGCCTCATCTGTCTCCGGCCTCACTTAACATGATATGAAAAGAGTTAAATGTTTTGGCTTAGCACATTTGTAACTTCAGATATATTTCATTTTATTTTACTTTATTTTATTTTATAGATACAGATTCCATTAACTTCATAAAAATGATTGTATAGGCGTTTAGGATCATATTCATTTGAAGCAAAGTCCATCATGGAGGTCCAGGATTTCCATCCTGAAATGTGAGAAACTATAGTAGTTCCTGGAACAAAAGTAGACAATCTTTATTTACTGTGTTGTGTTCAAAAGTAAAGAATCATTTCACTTACAGGTTGAGCATAAATGTTACAATTGTTGGTATCAGCTTTTAATCTGACACTGAAATTGGGTGCTTTAATAGCCTTTTAAGATTTGGAAAGCAACCTCAATCTCAGTTTGGGATAGCGATAGGTCAGTATCAGTGACTCTAGGCTCAAAGCAAAAGATGATAAGGAATATAGTTAATTGACTTGCCTCTCTGTCCTTACTTTGAGAGTGCCTGGCTTGAGTTTGTGAAGTACTGAACATTGAAGCTACTTAGTTGAGGGAACTTTCTTGCTTCATAAATATAAAACAGTGGTTTGATTAGAAGTCAATTTTGAAATAAGTGTTAACCACTTTGTGTTTATTGTTTAGGAATGTTTCACTGTCTAATGTACATTACCTGAGATATACCATTTACCTATCTTACCCATTTGTGTTGCAAATCAGACCTCCTATGAACTCATTTGACTAAAAGTATCTGAACTCAAGTCCTAAAACTGGGAACATCACTTACTGATTATAAATTGAGCTTATCTCCCTTAACTTCTTCCTTGTGAAGTACTCTTAAAAACTCACATTCAAGATAAAAATGACTTATTTTCTTAAAAGTTTTTTTTCTGTTTTTCCCTACTTTCAAGCTAGCCTTACAAGTTTCAACCTTTCAAAGACAAACTTTGAATTGGCCAGAATTCAATTTGCATAAGCTCAGTGCCAAATCCAGCATCAAAAACATCCAGACATGACTTTTCCAGAGTATCTTGCCTCTGTGCTGGGTGTTGGTAGTGGTTAGACGGACTCCTTCAGCCTTGCACCATCGGGCCCAATGGTCACCAGCTCAATCTGAGTGTGATTTTAATTTTTCTCCCTCTTGGTACATTTATGCCATCATCTGTGTGAGGCCAGGTGCTGTGCCAGAAGGAGCAGTAAATGTCTATAGCTCCGGACCCTCCTCCATCATTTACTTGCTTTGTAGCCTTGAGCCAGTTCCTTTATCTCTCAGATTCATTGTAGAGTGAGAAGGTTGGATGAAATTAATCATTCTCATAACCCTAGCGAGCCCAGTGTCTCTTTTATAGCAAACATTTATTCTGGATATCTTGGAATGAAAGCCCAAGTTAATAATCTATACACACATTTAATTTACACAGTGAATATAATACTGCAATTGTAACATAAAGCAGAAAAAAAAGCTATTTTTAATAAAAATGTATTTCAATAAAAAGCATGGGAGGTAGTAAGTTAGAAACAAGGGAGCTGAATCACTCCCTTCCTTAAATTCAACTATAAACATTACACCAATCCTAACAGTTACGGAAGTGTGCTTCCATAATCCTAAGACTGGGAAGCCACCTCCCTTCTCTCCAACCACAAATACAAGACTGCCCTGATGATTATTCAGGTGTAATATTAGAGGTTACCCAGATTGCTGACATCAACAAAGAAAAATAGTGGGAGGTACCTAAGACCAGTGGGTGTCTGATCCTATAAATACTAGAAGCCTAAGTTACAAAGCCTCTTTTGGTCTACTTGACCCTTCTGTCCAGTCTTGCTGCTGCCCCATGGTCTTTAATAAACTTACTACACACTATGAGTGTATGTCTGGCAATTCTTCCCTTGTTGTACACAAGAACCTGGAGTATTTTTGGCCCACTCCACTGTAGCATCGGGCAAGTCAGATAGGAGGACTCTACCAAACCTTGGGAGACCTCAGCAGATTCCAGAGTCATCAACAACCCAGACACCTTTGGAGACCTCAGCAAAAGTGGGCAAGCGGACAACCCAGCCAACAAAGAAAGTAACTCCTTGCTGTGTTGGAAGATTTTCTCTCTTCCCTTTTCTGGGAGAGAAAATGGATTCCCAGGAGGAGAGATGCACCAGTTACCTTGTGGAGAAGACTAGACTATGGGACAAAAGGCTTCTGTCCTTATGGGGAGGAGGAGGGATCCTGCCAGTCAGGTGGGCTTGTGGTCTGTTGTTGATTCACACAATGTGGACAGTCTACCTGGGAGGCCATGGCACATGAGAAAAGCCCACCAGAGCAGGGGAGAAGGCCACAAATAGACAAATGTCACTAGATGAACATGTTATATGGCTTAATCTAGTAAGTTGAGTTTTGTTTAGGGGCATCTGTTCCCTTCTTAAGTGACTAAAAGACATCTAGCCAGTTAGGTATTCTGTTTATGGCCTCTTTAAATGAGTTGTGTTTTTAGGGGATGTTTAATGGGTCCAAGGAAGTAACACTGGTCCTCTCTTGGGACTGGAGACATCTCGTCCAAAGAATTCATTTTAGCCAGATAGTGATCCCTAGGGAGCTTAAAAGGAATTCAACCTATCTAGGTTAAACTCTTAGTAGGAAGACTAGAAACTTAGTATGACTACTAAAATCCTAGATCCTAAATTTTTCTCCTATCTACAGATGGGAACAAACTCATATCTCTCTTCTGAGTCCCTGTTTATATGTCTCCTTAACCACTGGAACAAGCACCAAACACTAAAATCCTTCAAAAAGATCATCTTACATTCCTGTGTAGTAACAAATGACCTAAGTATCTACTTGGGAAAAGTGAGACAGGGCCTTGCCTGGGAAGCCTAAAGTATAATGTCATATTTCAATTATATCTTTACTGTAAAGAGCAAGGAAGGTTGTCAGAGGTGCCCTATGTTCAAGCCTTTATGACCCTCTACCTAAGGCCTGCTCTGCTCCCTAGAAGTCATCATCCCTCCGAAGCTTATGTTGTTGAGGGCTATCTCTTGTCAGCTCCTCCTTTCCACAGATCACCTCCTTAACAACATGCTCAGTCAATACTCTCAGGAGAAAAGGCCACCTCCTGAGTTCATCTCATACTATGTCTGGGTCTACTTACTGATAGGACTTTTGGCATGGTAAAAGAGACTATAAAGTAAAAATGGCCTTTATTCTAAGAACGCAGAGAGAACCTCATGACCACTGGGTCTGGCTTTCTCTGCTGGAAAAGTGGTATGGGGGGCACACATAGAGTTTCCAACTGAGGTGGTGCTTAAAGGTGGCATTGCTGATGCTCAAGTAGCTGATTGAGACTCTTTTTTGAGCCAAAGGTAAGTTGCATAGGGGAGGGGAAAGTGACCTCAAGATAAATGTGCCCTCGTCCAGCCTCCCACTGCCGTAATATTCTATCTAGGTCAAAATCCTTTCATTCCTGTCTTTTTATTGTTAGGAAAAGTACGAAGTCTCTCTCTCACTACTTACTGCTGAAAGGGGGGGCATCACATTGGGGTTTAGGAAGGTTGATGGGATGATGGTTGATGCCCATGCAGAAGCTGGTGCCAGGACAGCTTTATCATTGGTAAATGCCCACACATTGGATTGGAAAACACAGACAAGGTGCTATGAGGAGGCAGGCCACTATCATATTTAAGGACCCAGGTGAGGTAGAAGGAAAGATGTCTTCGATTTAGATATGTCATTTTATCAGGACCACAGTGAGGTAGAATCATTACCATGGTGGGGTAGAATTCTGAAAAATAATTGGGGGTTAGGAGGAGTGAAGTTATGAGAGGTGATTATTCCCCCATCTGAAAGGGTAAAAGTTAAGAGGATAGGTAGTTAGGACTTGCCTCTGGTCCAGGAGTTGAGCTGGAAAGTTAAGCGGTGGGGATGGCTGTGGCTATGTCACTATAAGGGAGATAAGAGCCTAGGCCTTCAGGGATCTCATGTTTGACTAAACAGCTGAGTGTAGAGAGAACTAAGACAGTTGTCACATAGACCATGAAGATGATCTTACGTATGATGTGGGAGTCTTTAGGAAAGATTGTTAAGAGTCCTGCTGTAAAAGAGATAATTAATAGAATGTAAGGAATTAGGAACCAAATTGGATAACAAAACATGACTTAACCAGAGAGTTGTGGCTGTGAGGCCGTGGTGAGATGGAGACAGGTGGGTGACAGAAGATGAGATGACCACTCAGGATGGTTAGATTTAGGGTTGGAAGGGCACCACTTAGCCTGAGTGATGTGAAACCAGGATGGGAGTCCAGCAACTTTGACCATTGTTGGGGTTGCCAAGAAGAACAGGTAGGGGCCACTCCACCTTGGTTGTAGTCCTGTGCATTTAGAACATTTGAGATAAATTAGATCTCCTGGGGATATTGGAGGATCTGGCTTAGTCTCTTCAGGGGGTTTGGGAAGGCAGAGATCAGCATGTTGTCATAACAGGTGTCAGAGGAAGGGGAGGATTGGCATATATTCAGCAAGAGGAGGGAGAGTTCAGGGAGTAGAAAGATTGTGGAGTAAGAATGGCCTGCCATACATAAGTTCAAAAGGACTTAAAAATGTAGGAGCCCAGGGAAGTGCCCTGAGGCCTAGGGTAGAAGTTGAGGCCAAGGTTGGTGTAGTTCTAAAATGAGCTTTGTAGGGTGTGTTTTTATGAGGCCATTTGCCTTTTCTACTTTTCCTGAGGATTGTGGATGGTATGGGATGTGTAGGTGCCAGGTGATGTGTAAGCTTGAGGATACCTGTTGAATGATCTGAGAAATAAAGGCTGGACCATTATCTGACTGAATACTCTGAGGTAGACCAAACCTTGGAATGGTTTCCTGTAATAGGACTTTAGTGACTGCATCAGCAGTCTCCCTGGTTGTGGGAAAGGCTTCTATCCATTCTGAAAATGTACAAACAAAGGTGAGAAGATATTTGAGAGTTTTGTGGTGGGGCATGTGTGTAAAATCTATCTGCCAGTCCTGACCAGGAGTGTGTCCTCGAAATTGATGGATAGGAAAGGAAGGGGGTGCTATATGTCCCTGAGGAGAGTTACTAGCAGAGAGATGACAGGTGTGAGTAATCTAAAGAATAATAGCCTTCAAAGAAGGGTGTGTGACTACTGGGGCTAAGAGTCTGTATAGGGCCTGTGATCCTTTATGGAAACAGTTATGTAAGTCAGTGATGATGTCTAAGGCCTGCTGATGTGGGAGAACAAGTTTTGATCCCTGGAAAATCCATCCCTGACTGTTTTGTGTGTAACCTGGTTTATGAAGTAACTGTAGCTGATCTGATGAGTAATTAGGCTGAGGTAGGCTGTTTGGGACTAACAGGAGAAGATGAGAAGGATAGGGCCTTTGTGCAGCTAACTTGGCTTGTGAATCTGCAAAGGCATTGCCTTGAGCAATGGGATCTGCAAAATTTTGTTGTTCCCTACAATGAATAACTGCTGCTTGCTTTAGGAGTAGTGCTACCTCTAGGAGTTTAAGGATAAGAGGCACGTTAATGATGGGATTCCCTGAGAGTTAATAAAACACTGTTTTTGCCACATAGAAGCATGAGAATGTAAAATGCTAAATGTATACTTTCAATCAGTGTATATATTTTTCACTTTGTCCTTTGCTAGTGTAAGAGCCCTTGTAAGGTTAATAAGTTCTGCTCTCTGGGAAGAAGTCCCAGGTGGCAGTGGATTTGCCCCTATAACTTTTGACTGGTTAACTATTGCATATCCTGCCTTTTTTTGGGTGTCTGTGTTTGCTGAATTACCATCTGTGAACTATATGTGAAAGGCTCTGCAAAGGCTGTATAGGCTGGCCATCAACACCCACTACAGAGGTTGAGGAATTAATACAAGGACCTGAAAACTCAAGAAGTACACTATAACTCACCTCCATGTCTACAAGTACAGATAATGTCTTACCTGAGCCCTCCAGTGAGACTTGGGGCTCTGAGAAGGATACCTTAACTGGGGATGTGAGCCCCGAGCCTCATCAATCTTCAGCAGCAAGTCCAAGCAGATCAGTTAGTGATGAACCTGATGATGGAGTCTCCTTTGAGAGGAGTTAGAGGATGGCTTACCCACTCTCTGGTGGCTAGGACAGTTGCTCATCCAGTGGCCCTTGAGATTGCAGTAGGGGCAAGGCCCCAAGGGAATGCTGGGCCTGGGGCACTCTCTTGCCTAATGTCCTTCTTTGCTGCACTTGAAGCATGGTCTGGGAGGGGGCTCAGGCAGCTCCACCTTATTTTGGCTTTCCTGTTTCGGGAGCCCCAAGTGCCACTGCTAAGAGATCCGATTGATATTTAGCAAATTTCATTTTTTGTGCCTCTTTTTTCCTCTTTTTGAGTTTTTTCTCTGTTGTTTAAAACATGGAAAACTAAATTAAGAAGGTCTCCTTGTGGGGTTTGAGGGCCATGTTCAGCCTTTTGTAACTTTGCATGAATATCAGGAGCACACTGAGAAATAAAATAAGAGTTAACAACAATCATCCCTTCATGAGAGTCTGGGTTTATATTAGTAAACTTAATTAAGGTATCCCTAAGTCAATTTAGGAATACACCTGGATTTTCATTAGCCTCCTGGACCTATTCTAAAAGTTTGTCATAGTTTGTTTGCGAGCAATTTTATTAAGTCCCACATTTAATCATCTTATGTATTTTATAAGAACCTTCTCCATTTTGGTAATTCCAGTTAGGATCTTGCTCCAGCACTGCAGTAGGCCAAGGGTCATTTTCAGTGGTATTTGCATTATGGCTGTGATCGGCTTCTTCTCGAACTGCTTGCCACAGCTGAGCTCACTCTTGTGAGCTGAGGGTAGAGAATCACATAAATATCCTTAAAATGTAAAATTTTCTGAT